AGTTTCTACCCGTACATGGGCCGTACGGTCTACGTGGCGAGTCGAATTTTGAAACTCGACTCATGCAGATCGACGGCACTCCGAAATGAAGGGGAAACGGGTACGGCCACGTGTTAGCTAAGCCCTCCAATCCGTCGATAAATACTCACAAGAAACCTTGATCGTTCGATGGCAGCAGTCGTGGTTACGCGCGTGGTAACTCAAACCGCCGACGGCGAAAGCTGGTGCAAGCTAGAGCAGTCACCTGATTGCACAGCATGCTGAGTTTGCTGGCATGTTCGTACCAGGCTGTAGTGACCCCTTCTTGAGCAATGCAGCAGTGCTCAGTAGCCTGTAGGTAGGTGCCAATGTCCTAGCCTCATTTGGCATCCTGCCTAGGGTACCTTCAGGAGGTTACAGGTACCTGTCAAGACCGTTACAATCCTCGCGCAAAATTGATCGACTGAGCTGCGTTGCAGAGTGCTAGGTACTATAGGTATACCGTCTCATCTAACTTCCATAGGCATGAGGCGGGAAAACGCGCGAGATGTTTCTTTATGGCAATACCCGGGAGAGTCCCCATCAACTGATAGAGAGGAGTACGGTATACCGCGGTACCAACCACATTGAATGCGATGTCCATCCACTACACATTGAAGTCGCAGCAGAACCACCGCAGCTCAGCTCAGAAACTGCGACACTAAGCTCGAGAGGTCAAGTCACTCTGCTTTCATTGCTGAGATTGCCAATATCCAGTGATCCGAGAGTGATCCTTGTCTGGCGGCTTCCTGCTCCATTGAGCTAGGATCTGCATTGCTGTTCGAGCAACATGGCGCGCTCTATCGTCGCTCTTGCTGTGGCTGTCATCCTTGCTGGAAGTTTGGTGGCACCATCGAACGCTCAGGCGCTATGTGAGTTCATGTTGCTTCTCATTCGCAGATGCTGCGTTGCATCTTTGGATAGAGCTTCTCGAGTGTCTGTCATTTCCGTCTTCAAGTTCGAGTCTCAAGGAAATTCCTGCTTTCCATTTGCAGAGGATTGAGGCTCCTTTTTCCAGGACCAACATTCAGCTCTAAGACACACCATGTAATGGAGGTACCCTGCCAGTCGCTTTTCTGCTACCGCCGCTGAAAAGCGGATGGCAATGAAAGGAGTTGGAAAGCTCAAAGTGGGCAGAACAACATGAGGTTCTTTTGACAGACATTACATTGCTATACTTTTCCTGCTTGCCTGATGTGACGCAATGGCCTCGATTGAGAATTCTGACAAGGGATCTCCTTCTCTGCAGCACCAACAGAAGCAGCGGTTCAACAGCAACTTTTGCAGATCCTCAGTAAGTCCCATATTCAATCTCTCTTTCTTCAGCTGTACCTCAATTGGAACCCTGCAGATGAATATGACAATTCCATGGGACTAACATACATAAAAGTCAGCATGGATAGCTGTGATGCAGCAAATGATGCTCCCAATGAGACTGAGGAGTAAGCACACACTTTCTGTGCGTCTTTGTGTTTCTTCCTACAACGTAACAGTTAAGATGGATGATGAGCACTTGAGATTGCATCTCATCTCAAGTACAACCTGCAGTTCATCCATCATACACTACATCTGAAAAAGTCAGCTCCTGCTTTCGAAGCTTCAATAGATTCTTTCGGTACGCTGTGATTCGTTGGCAGGTTCTATGTGCACCTTGACTCTACTTTCTTTGGAGACCTGCCATCTGAAATGCCTGTTCACAAACAACCTTGTATGAATAACATCTTCTCGCACTTGTCTTCATCTCTGCAACACAGATATGCCGAATGGCAGGACACATCCAGATCCTTATGATCCATGTCTGTGCTTGCAGATGGGGTTATTACCCAGATCAACTACTGCGTGGGCAACGCCTCTGTTCCCACCGCCTGCCCTTCCATGACGCCCCTCTTTGTGGCTCTCAACGTCACAGCAAGGCTACAGGAAGCCTTCCTCAGCGAGGACACTCCTTCTGGTTCTCCACTTGGTGCTCCTGCTCCGGCGCCTACTAGTCCCTACGCAGCATGCTACAACACGCTCACCAAAGACTCCTTTATCGATGGCATCAACCCCGCCCTGGTCCTGCCAATGTGCAACAACACCAGATGTGCAGCAGCGGCCGCGCGAGTTGACACCTGCATCACCGCAGTCATTGACAACATTGCGGACCCGGAAGCCTCCCCCGCTGCAGCCCCGTCTCCCAGTGATGCTGGTGAAGGTAGCAACAACCCTGACGTCAGTGGCAGCCTCACAGAGTTCTGTGCCAGCCCTGTGTGCATAAGTACGGCGAAGGCGTTGTCCCCTCCATCCCCGCCTCCTCCTCCCGGCAGTGCGGCCACGTTGAAGATGTCAGTCTTGGGTGTTGCTACTCTTTCCATGATCGTCGTGGGGGCTGCGTTGTAAGAAGACATACCTAGAATTAGACTGCAATTGTTTGCCTAGAGTAGATGCTACTCAAGAGGAGTTGTTTTGACAGGATCCTGTCTCGTGCTAGAAACAGGATTGTACAATGATTGTGATCTAAACATACTAGTCCAGAGCTACATCAACTGTAAACACAGGTATCTTGCTGAGGAGGTAAAATGTATTCTGGAAGGACATTGTGGTGATGAGGGTTTGTCAAGGTTCGCCTTGACAGAACATGCTTCTAGCTGTGCCGCCAGCGGCAAGCTTTTGCTGGCTTCTATGCCTGCTGCAGGTTCGATTCAATGTATACCGGAATTTCAAGCACTGTTAAATCAATGCGCGAGTCGATGCCTCAATACTTAGCTACACTGACAGAGTCACTGGTACCTAGGCAGGCAGGCTATGATCATTCAAGTTATTCGCGTGAAAAGGTCGGATGCAAGCTTGGCGAGGAACTGTACAGTATACTTGTGAGTTACCAGTACTCACAAGCTTGTGATAAAAAGCTTCTTGTCCCTTATACATCAAAAGACAAATCAGTGACGCGGAGTCTGTCGCATATGCGCGTGGTCCGATAATGCGGATCAAAATTGTGCAATGCTAGCTTGGGCCAACCTAGCTCATTTGTCCGCGCGTCACGTCTGCATATTCAAGTGCAAGGGAGTCGCGATCTAAGGTCACTGTGTACATACATGGCCGCCGCGGTCACACTCATTAACCCCTGTGATTGAAATCAGACACTCCTATACTTGAACAATGATATCGAAACAGTCATTGTCTGCAAACATGTCTGTCTGCAAACATGTCTGTCTGTCTGCAAACATGGCATGCTATCGCACGGCAGCTGCCGCCTGTCAGACAATCGTCCCTCGAGGTGAAGTAGCCACATATGCGCAGTCCTTATGTCATGCAAGCTGGTACACGTAGAACCATGCAGCACCACGGCCGGTGCCCAAGCTACAGCTAGCATGACCAATTTTGGGCCCATGCATATGCATTTGATTCTGCGTTCGCTGCATGCGGCCAGGCCGTGATTGCGCATGCGCATGCGCAGTCGCTGACCAAGTCCAATGCAGGTAAAGGCCACCACGGCTGTCATGATAATATAGGACTTGAAAGGGAGAGGCTCTTTTCCTCAAGGGCTCATACATACTTCTGAGGCCAAGCGGTTGAGAGAGTATGGGACCTAATTAACGCCCCAGATTCACTCGGGAATTGAAAGGAAGGTCAATTCGTATGTACACCACTATCCGCAGAAAGTATGATGCAGCAACGTCACCATTCGCTTCAGCCATCCAACACAATTCGCTTCAGCCATCCAATGTGTGGTGTCACAAACCCAGGAATCGGCTGCGGATTTGGCGACCTTTTGCTCTGTACAACAACGTTCGTTGTGTGGCCGCCAAGACTGTAAGCAATGTGTGCGTTGCTGTGCGGCGATAACAACGACTGACAGCAGTGCTTGAGCGGTTGTACTAAGGCGGGACTCTCGAATCGATAGTGCCTGACGCATTCCCCTGATCAGTCATGCTCTTTCCTCGGTCCTGAAAACAAGATGATGGTGGGTGAGGTACAAGAAAGCACACGTGGGCAATAATGTGTAGGCCTCGCACGAACTTTATTTTCCTTAAACAATTTGCGGGCCTGCGAAAGGGTGAATCCGAACAGCATTGCATTCTTGTTATCATGTCATTCGCCAAATTGCTCAAGCAGTGCGTGATCCGCAATCAACGGCGACAACTCGGCAGTCAGAACAGAAGCTCTGGCGGGACCTTGTGCGCTTGGACCGCTTTTTAGCGCACGCATACAGACGCGTCTGAAAGCGCAGCTGTCCCCTTGAACACACCCAGTATAGCACTTCGATCCAAACCTTTGAAGTTTTATAACTCTCAGGAGGCATTCCATTTCGGACTTATGATTACGGCCCACGGCCGAAAGGCCGCCCCTAAATGCTTAACAGATCCGTGCGAAGTGACAGATCCAAGTACTCTCGATTTACAATCCCATTCGTGACGTCATCAGAGTACTCGAAGGGGCGCATCCTCACCTCCATGCCCCATTTGATGTAGTCCGCCGTTTCGCACGCCTTGTACTCGTCGATGAGACTCTGGACCACCTCCCGGGACTCGTCGAACTCCGTCAGATCGTTGTCCTGAAGCAAAAGAGAAAAGAGTCACTGATTGCGGGCAGAACTTGCGGTCTGTTCTACCGTTGTCCTGAAGCAACAAAAGAGGATACTTAGACTGCGGGCAGAATGGGCGGTCCATTCTGTAAGGAAAGCTACTGATTGCGGGTAGAACAGGCGGTCTGTCAAGACAGCACTCGTCTCTTCCTTGGTTTTGTTGTACTGTGATGCGGCCGCTCCACCGGGCCGAGGTGTCAATGACTTCCACAACATGATTCCTTTTCTTACGTGATACGTGACTGAAAATTCTCTAGTCTTGGGATCAAGAAGTGCCTCAGTGAGCATTACCAGCCAAAACAAGCCTCGGAGCTTAAAGTGATTGAGAAGGCTGGGAGATTGACATGCTTTTACCGGTGCCCGGATACCTCATGAGAAGCATAAGAAGGAAGCAAGGAGGTCGATCCACGAGAAACAGGAACTGGCTGAGGCGGAAAGGTGTGGAAGAAGGTCCATCTTGGAGCTTGGAGATTGGACTCAGAGGTACGGCTATCAGCTACTTACTGCAGACGCAGAGAGCTTCCCATTTGTCGATGAACGCCTCTTTCTTAACTGACTGGCGCACCGGCGGCCTGACACCTTCAGAGAAAGCGGGCTGACAGGAGCATCGCCCCAAGCATGGTGTCAAGAAGAGAGCGACTCACGGCGAACATGGAGAACTTGCGGTAGTTGTCGAGGAACGCCTGCTTCTTCATCAGCTTCTCGTACTGGCTCACGCCGCGGCTGAACAGGTGCCGGATGCTCGTGTGGCTCGCCAGCATCAGCCCGCTCACCTAAGAGCAGACAAAGACACGTGGCACAATGAGAGGGGGCCACGTGGCACAGTGTGTACGGCAAAGTCACATGCCGCGGTACGGAGAAAACCGCCGAACGGAATTGATCGAACAGGGAAGCAACAAGTCTGGTGATTTCTTAGTTCGCGAGGTCATGCACGAGGCCTATCAGAAGGCCTGAACATCAAACTGAATCCCACCCCGGTTATTTGGTCATCGTTTACAACACAAAGTAGTAGAAACCCTGCTTTCTAAGCATTGCACAAAACTGCTTGGAGGCCTCGGAGAGTTCGATTCGAGTGACGGCACAAGGACGGGTAGGCAACGAGAAAGAGTCACCTTTCGGTCGCATAAACAGAGTATAAAAGGGGCCAATAAAGAGTGGCTACTCACCCTGTGTGCTGTCTGTACGTATGGCGACTTTCGAGACAGCGCGACCTGCACGCAGGCAGACAGACATCGTTCTTTCGAGCGCACTTGAGCCTATCAGGATGCGTCAAGGGACTCCGACACGTGGATGGAGACATAAACACACTGCCACTTAAGCAAGGACTCTAAAAGGGGAAACTGCCTTGGGTGACGACCGAGCGGACTCTTGTGCTTCGCAACAAGTCGAAGTCCGAACGAACAAAGATGCCCACTCCCAGGCTGGAATTGGGAAGATGCTTTCACACGTGCACTGTACCTGACAAACACTTCTCTCCTCATTCCCGCGCAAACATGTGGCCGTGATAGCAATACGCAGAGTCAACGTTTCTGGGTTAACACATGCGGCTCAGGCGGGATGAGTACGCGTCTGTGAAAGAAGGACAACCCCAGTCGTGTTCTGAAAGATCAAAAGAGACTCAATACAAAGACAATGTGGCTGCCCACCTGTATGCTGGCGGGGCCCCACTCGATGAAGCTGGCCAGCCGCCGTTCCCGGATTCTCTGCAAACTTTTATGTACCTGGGAGCCAAAAAAACCAAGTCAAGCTCAGTCGGTCGCATTTTTCAAACTTTGAGTCGCAGCGCAGTCTATACTACCTTGAGCGAATCTTCGCATCGTTTCTTCAGATAATGGGCTCGAGGAATCGAGCTTAAAGTAGTCGCAAGAAGTTTTTGAAACGAGATCGCATGGGAGTTTTGTCCAAACGCGCGAGCGCGGAGCAGTTCCCCCAGGCCATTCCTTTCCAGAATGAAGATACAGATGACCACCGACCGTCCACTGATGCACCAAGGAAGCCAAACATGGAATCCTGTCAGGAGCCGAGCAGGCGACGTGGAGAAGACTTACTTGTGTTGGATCCACCTCTCCTTGGATGATGTTCAGGATTGAGATGTATTTGGCGGCGCTCGCCTCCTTGGCGCGGCCGTAGGACGAGACCATGATGTTCTTGGCCTGCAACAAGGGACGCAAACGTGCAAACGTTAGCTGACCCCCCTAAATCTAACCCTGTCAACCGTCGACGTAATAGCTGAAAGCATGCCCTCAAGATTGACCTGCAGAAGACTTCCGAACAGCACTATTTATCAATGCTCCCAACCCTCAGAGCACGTGCTGAAAGTCGTATCAATGATCGGCGTAGGCATTGGCAGCCTGATGGATGGGTTACTCGAAGCGCGCCGCAACAAGAAGTAGTGCTCGACTGAAGCAGTGATGCTCTATTCGACTGCACCTTGATCCATATCTAATCGCTACTGACAGTTGCAAGTTGCACTGTTTCGGAATGCCACCCAGATCACTGCGACTGAAGTCAGAAAGTAAATGGTCTCAAACCAAAATTGGGGTCCTCGAAGAAGTGAGACAAGAGAAGGAAGCGAAGGCGCCGCTGGCCAGAAGAAAATGTGCGTTCGAGAAGGCGAGAAGCGGTTTTATCAACCAAAGGACACGTCGGCAGACGACGAACTTACCTGGAGCAGCCGCCTCATGACGTCCAGCACGGAGGTCTTGCGCACAGCATTACCCTGCGGAGAAAGCGATTGCGACTTGCTGAGAGCGCTGCCTGGCTAAGGCGGAGAATCAATGTTCTTCATTTGGCAGAGTCGTTCAACCTGGCGGCACACCCTTTCACGCTTCTGACCTTGTCTGTAGTGCCAGATTTTTCATTGAAGTACAGCCGGTTCACACGGAAGAAGCCTGGGAGGCGGAGGCGTTCTGCAGATACCAAAGAGCCTACTTCTGACTGCGCCAACAGAGGGTCCTGGTTTCCAGTGATCCCGCCTGGTCCCGGCTATCCCCGCCTTCGAGAATGCCTGATCAATTTACAGAACACGTTTCTCTGTCCCTGACCATCTCGCACCACAGACTGCCCGACGCAAGCGCGGCCGCTTACGTTCAAAGGCTCTAATGGTTCCGCACAACACGTTTCCCCTTTCTTCACCAGCTTTCTGCACAGACTTCCTGCCTCAGAAATGGCCGCGCCGAAAAGTAATGGCAACCTACCTGCCGCTCCGCAGTCAGGGGGGTGTAGCCCGTCATGAGGAAGTGGCAGCGGGGGGTCGGGATGAGGGAGGCAACCAAACCGACCAGGTCGTTGTTCATGTACCCGGGGTACCGCAGAGTGGTGGTACTGCACGGAAAGGAAAGAAAAAAGAAAGTTACGGAGTGTTCTTGCACTTCTGTTTTAAGTAACCGAGGTATAGCGGAGTGATGGTGCTGATCGGTAACGGAAAAGAAGCATAATTGCGGAGTACTCTAACACTTTTCGGCTTTCAGTAATAAGGGTATAGCGGATTGATGGGTAAATGATGACGAGCGACGAGCGAGACCCCAATTCTTACTTTCAGGAGCCTACGGGTTAACGGAAATGTCATGCTCGAGAAACAATCCGACAATCCGCGGTTCCTGGGCGATTTATGCTTGAGGGACCAGGCTGTGACTCAGAAGACGGCGGAACTGTGGCGCAAAGCCCGAAGAAAGGTCGAATGCAACTCAAGTCGCAGGAAAGTGTTTCAGGCTGTCTGCCCCCAACCTAAGGATTGATTTTACAATTCAAACCCGCATTATGAGCAAAGAGAAGAGAATGCTACGTCAAACAACCCGGAATATGAAAACAAACTGGATACATGGAAGTGAATTGAAGAACGGTAGGGTGGCACAATTACCTGGCGGACATGACAGTGGACACGAGGGAGTTGGTCTCAGAGAAGGAGGGGTTCTGGATGTGGAGGTGGTTCTCTGCGCGGACCAGATAGAGAGACAGAGGCTCAGCTTAGGGCCACCAATCGGTCCCTCGCCTTTACAAGTCCAAACGAAAGGTTCTCCTGATTCACTTCGAGGACGAGTGACAAGCAGTCCCCAGTCGATGGTATTGTCGCTCAGGTGCGATGAGCAAGGCACTGTGCAACAGTCAGCTACTTCACAAACTACAACTTTATAGACGACCTCAAAACACGCTTCGCTTTATCCTGACTATTTGTGGAGCCGCCAGCGAGCACAGGCGAGACTAGGAACATAATTGGACAAAACTCGAAAGGGGAAGAAAGCCGAAAGACTTACCTGCTATCCTATTGAGAGCGGTGTTGTCAAGGACGACCACGCAGTCCGCATTCAGGGTGAGCCGTTTGAGTGTGAGAAGGGAGTTGTACGGCTGCACAACAACGTCGGCTCCATCCTGCTGGTTGGGAAACACGCTGTATGTCTGGACCAGCTTCTTGCCGTAGCGGTCGTTCAGCGCCTCCAGGAGGTACGAGCCCATGCCTGGGAGAGAAGGGTAACGTGTTCGGTTTGAAATTCGTACTGTGTCCGGCCTGAATCATACTAAGTACACTTCACATGCTTTGGGGAAGATGCCGTGGGTTTGGAGCAGCTTCTTGCCGTAGCGGTCGTTCAGCGCCTCCAGGAGCTATGAGCCCATACCTTGAAGAGGAATGGAAGTGACAATCCTCGGTACAAAACCAGAGAGTGTTCATTGGATACCGACAGTACGTCTTTTTGACCCATTGTTTTGTATCAACCCCGTGCCCGGTCACTTTACCAGTTCCCAGACATTTCAAACATCCAGCAATGGCTTGCCAGGTCCTTGAAATCACACACAACTTCCAAGAGTTGAAAAGAAAGCCCACCGTATCTTTTTGAATCTACAGTGGAGCAAGATCAGAGTCGTGAGCCCAAGAGAGGCAGACCGTGTTCATCATTCTATGGAGCAGCCAGGTGCATGTTCTCAAGTGGGTGAGTGGGTCACTCCCAACAGGTGCACCATTGCTTCGAGGTTTCACAGACGCACCTGAACCCGTTCCTCCGGCGATGGAGTGGCACAGGACAAAGCCCTCCAGACTGTCGCTGCCGTCTGCTTCTCGGTCGATCATTTCCAGAATCTCTTCATGTACCTCTTGCCCCTGCCAGAGAGCATTTTTATTGAAAGAGAGGCAAAACTTTTGGTTCAAGAGCCGGTTGACATGTTGCAGTCTGAGATGGCAGTGATCTTATCCCAACATTTCTCATGACAACTCGGCTTCTTCCGTGAGTCCTTGCAGTCTATGCGATTGTGCATTCAGCAGAGCCCCAGGTCTCAGAAAGCTGTGAGCGAAGTGCAAATACTAGGCCCTGTGTAGGCACTCCCACACTAAGAGAAGTTGGAATCATCCTTCTGTGACGATGCTGAATTTACAGTACTTTAACAAGATGGGAGACTCCACCATCTGGTGGTGGTACTTCAGGAACATGCCAATTACAAGTCATTGTTGAAGTTCTTTTACCACCATACTCACCCCCAACAAGAAATATTGTGCCCTTTATTTGCCATCTTAATTCCCCCATGATGTGAGTTCATTTGCGGAAAGTATTAAGTGTACTTTGCCCCACCTGCTGATAGCCGCTGGCCCAGTTGTTCCCTGCCCCGCCCCCATGCTGTGCTATGTACATGTTCTCATGGTTGTACAGGTTTTTGTAGTCGCTGTTCTGGATTGTATTGATGACCCGGGGCTCGAGATCTAACAGCAGGGCCCTAGGAATATAGTGCTCGTCGTCTGCTTGGTAAAAGAAGACGTCCTTACGGTCCCCGCCCTGCGCACAATCACAGGGTTCGATAAGAGCGCAAATCTCACGTTGGTAAGTTGTGCTAGCTGGACGCGCAGGCTTTGCGTTTGAGCCAGCAGTCTTATACCACCAAAAAAAGGGGCTCAAGACGTGGCACTTGAGCCCTCCTTTCACATTTTTCAACCAGATGCACAACATACTCTTCTCCAATTCAGTTGTGGCGTTGGAGACCTTTTAGCGCAAGGACCACTCTGACTAGTGCAAAGACTTCAAAGATTTATCAGTAGGAGACAGCTACAGTGCCCCGCTGAAACTCGCCTGCGTCGCAAAGTCCTCCAAAATGCCATCCTTGCTGATCCCGTGCTCCAGGCAGAGCTTCTTCCAGAATTCAGTGCCAATCTGATTCCCGCACTGGCCCACTTGCAAGGTGATGATCTCACGAGGCATATTATAGCATTTGTAGGTCCACCTTTAGCAACTTCTCTGACCAATTGACCAGAATTTCCAAACTTCGGCACGATTGTGTCCCCACAGAAAACAACGCGTTTACAAGATGAGAAGTAAACAGCCTTTTGCAATATTCATCTATTCCTGAGGGCCGTGCAATTGCGTCTCATTGCCTTTCAAACCCACCACATGATCGCTGCAGCAACTTGCTTCTTTTGGCAACAACTTAAAGTAGTGTCCCTTGAGCAAAGCTTGGAATCAAAGGGGAAGACAAAAGAGAAGCAGCGCACTGCTTGATCGAAGTTGATTGATAAATGAAACATTGAAAGGCTCTGTGCGCTCTCATGCAATGCAAGCTTCCCTTCAACTGATTCCGCTTCGTCCTTGATATTCCAATGGTTTGGCGGGAAGACGGCCACTTCACTCGGGCAAGCTAGCAACTTTAGCAGGTGCGTATTGCAGACAAGCGACAAAGCTGTTTGTAGTGTCAATTCACTGGGTAACGCTCCAAGGGTGAGACTGAAAGACCGTTCCGCTGCGGGCTTCCGCTAGCAGTACGGGCTTCCGCTTGGCAGCACTGCTCTTAATTAGGCCTGCATTCCTCAGCAGTGGTGCCAGCCTGCCAGTGCAAATGGTTCACATTCTTCAGGACTCGAGCTGAGCAGCGAGCGCATTTCTTGCCAGCGCACAGCGCTGGCACTCGCAGGTTCTTCTCCCATTCTCTACGCTTCTTCAATCATGGGGGTTTCCTTTAAGAGATCTCTACGTTGGCGGACGAGATACTTGGACCGGCAGCGCTTGTCACCTACTTAGCTTGTCCCGCCAGTTTGTGGAGCAAACCATTGCCCTTCTTCGCTGCTGGCAGGTCGGAGTAAGGTGAGTTCATGCCTTTCTGGGCAGTGTGCATTCTGTTGTAAGGTACAAGTTTCTTCTTGCTGGCATCAAGTGATTGAAGAGGTGGTGTATTCAGGAAAAGGTGCATAATTCGTTCTGTGACTCGTTACCAGGTCTTTTGGCTGGCGCTTCTTCAAAATTTGCAATGGATGACTTGGAGAGGAAGTTGTGTTCTTTTGGTACCTTGTGTTAGCACGTTTTTGCAATCATTGCCTCCTTACCAAATTGGTTTGTTGATCCACCGCCCTGCTCGATGATGTTAACATACCATGCTAATTCCGACACAAAACTGTGGGGATTATCAAACCAAGATCTGTACTGAGAGCAGGGTGTGGCACTGGGGTGGTGTGTACTTTGAGACTGATTGACGGACATTTGTTTTCAATGCTGCAACATATGAGTGATATGTTTTGCACCCTACTCTCTTCGCCTTCCAAGTCATTTCTCTGTACAACTTTCTGTCCTCAATGCCACTGACCTTTACCGCACCCGCATTGCCCCGATTTGTTTTTTGACATGTTTGCGGGTGGCTCTCATTGGCCTGGTCAGTTGTTCGGGAACGCTTGCTTTGTATTCTAAGCCAGAGGTGAACGTTTTCTTCTTGTTGCATCTTTGACAGTATATCTCTGATGGCATGCTCTCTGGATCGCCAGACTCCCTCGATTTCTATCTCCGTACGAGCTCCTTTGACCCCCACAGGCCAAGCCCGTCCCATAAATTGAGGAGATTAAAAGCTGAGCTTGGGTGAGCGGCAGGAACACTGACTGTACGCTCAATCGCTTTGCGACATTTGCTAGTCTGGGCTTTTCTGACCATCTTTCTGGGGTTTCTACTCGTGTTCTGCTTCCTTTCGCCAACCACTTCCGAGTAGTCGTTCAAGTTTGAACAATGAAGGCCAGGCGGTCAAGCTCAAACTGATCTGGTTTCGCCGTTGCTTCGCGTACAGATTCCAAAGCAAGGACACGCCCTCGCTTTGTCCTCCGACGATTCCGCCGACTCTACATACGACCACGACATGAGTCTTGCGCACTGTTGCCAGCTGCTGGGCCAGTTACAAACCAACCACACATAGCGAGCTTTTTTGAGTGGCTGCTAAATTTCTCTTTGCCGCTGGGTGTCGACCACTCCAGAGCAAGCTTCTCGAGTTTCCCACGCCTGACTCCCTTCTCCATGTGAGAGATCTCGTTGTGTTCAAAAATGAAGCCCATTGGTGAGGGTGAACCTTTCTCGGAGGATGATGATACAACCTGATATCCAACACTTGACCTGATCAACCGTGATTACACAATCACTGCGTTCTTTCTGACTCCTTATCAGTACACCCTCACCAGTTGTGGCACGACAGTTTTGAAGCTGCTCTGTTAGCCCTGAGAAGGCTTAGCTATCATTTGCACATTTTTTGAAAAGAGGCCCTGTGCACGCTGGATGATGAACTTCAACCAAATCTTAGGACACCTTCGGACGTGGTCTTTGGCTGCGGATGAGAGGAAACGGAAATCCTGACAGCAAGCACAGTGCACCTCTCAGTCTTGATGAGATGACATCAAACATTCAATGACTCATTGCCATGGACCGCTGTAGTATGGTTTCCGTTTGACATGCTTGCTTTGCCGTTTCAAGTTGGGTCATTCATGGGAAAACAAAGCCCCTCTGCTTTTCAGTTTTGTGTAGCCAGCTCTCTGATGATGATCAAAAACTTTCGTTCTACCGAGCTGTCTTAATGACAGTGTGGAAAAAACTGGAGACCTGAACTGAAGAGAGCCTATTTTACCTTCGTGCATTGTTGTTGTGTCTTTCAAAGTTGTACCAAAGTCGGTGCCATGCTCTTGGTTGTGGCTTTGTTCTGGTTTTCGAGTGTTTTGGAGCAAGCAAATCTGGTCGAGCAAGCAGACTTGGAAAGCGTAGGAAGTTTTTGTTTGCAATCAGCCCTTTTGTCTAATGGGACAGCAGTGTTCAAGCTGGATAGAGAAAAAGGTTGTGCGTCCAAGCTGATACAACCTGGGAGAACCTGAGTTGTTTGAATTGGAGGATAGCCCCGAACATGAACTAGGTTTAGACAGACTACTTGTTGAATAGAACAGCGAGGCTGTGTCTCTTTCAAAGTGATGATAAGTCCTATGACTTCCTCTTGTGTCGACGAGTAAGGTTATACGTTATGCTCAACAGCTCAATAGAAACCGAATCAATTGCGGAGGCATCCTCAATTGGAGCTAGTTGCTAGAATACGGACCTACATGTTTTGGCTGCTGCAATTGTTCAGGGCAACCTCCCACTTGGACGTCAATTTGGTGTTCATATATATACACACGAGCCCATGCTTACAGTTGCATCATTGGCATTTGCGTTGCTGTAAACGGGTTGCATATTGCATTGTGCAAGTTGATGCTTGCATGTCATCCCCGGCCGGGTCGGATATGCATGTTACGAGGCAGGATGGGTTTAACATGAGCTGGCACATGTTGATCATGCATGATCGGCATATGGGCCGGGGATAGTACCGTACAGTATCGAGATTACCGGTCGCCATTGCACAAGTAGCTGCAGCATGCGCATCAAGTTGTAATGTACTAAATTACATTGATTGCAACTGGTAATATATACTACGCGGGTTGGAACATTCTCTTTGAGCCGCCAGTCATGTAGAAGCTCCAGTGTAAGTGTGACATGCAGTTTAAAAAGTTTCTCGAAAATTCGGTATGGTCAATCTACCCGCATCTCCGTCTCAGAAGAAAAGGTTCCTACCTTACGATTTCAAGTCGTCTTCAGATGTACGCTTGAGAAGCACAAAAGAAGTGTCGCTGTCTGAACGTCTCCCAATTGTATCTTGCTTAGTTGCAGCACGTCTATCAATTATCCACTATGTTACCTTGTAAACAGGAACTGCACATACTTGTGAACAACCTATTCAAATTAGAGTTGCAAATGCTATGTAATCATTCCAACTATTTACAGCGACATCACAAAGTATCCGCGCCGATGCGTAGTCTATACATCACCCCCCGACCAGCACCTATATCGCCTACGCGCTGAATGTTGCAAAGGGACGCGCATGCGCGCGCAGCGGAGTATGCGCGCACGCTTGCACGGCTGCGGCGTCCACGTCGGCGTTCGTGAAGCCCGCGTTGCACATGTTGGCAAACGAGCGCATGTGCTTCATCCCGTACTCCGTAAGCAGCCCGCAGCGCGATTCGTATGTCCGAACCTGGGCACATGAGCATTGCAGAATCAGAGCAGCCCGAAGACAACTGATGCGATCGTTCAGATTAAGCTGGCTACTGTGTAAGAAAATACTATCTTCAGCGGAGAATTCAAGCTCAAGCAAAGAAGACGGGTGCCCAAACATGGATGCGATTGTTAAAGAAGACAGGGGATCCGACTCAGCATGTTCGTAGCAAGGACATTGAGAGGTATCAAGAAAGTGGAAGGCAGACCAACACTGATTGAAGCACGGATAAAAGTACTCTCACGGACAGCAATCAAACAAATCAGTAAAACTTCGAAAAAAACATTCATCTTCAGAGTCCAGGCCTAGTACTTGGTCCACCGGGCCAGCAAGATTGAACTCTCGGCTACCATAACGACTCGAACGGCGGCAAATAACTCGGTCAATTCCGTGTGCTTCAATCAGGACACAGACATCTCGAACGCCCATCTCGGACACCAGTACACAGTCGGACACGGGTCGCATTTTCGGACGCGCGGGAAATTCGGACGCGGGTGACAATTCGGACGCAGGTGACAATTCGGACGCGGGTACCATTTTCGGACGTGCGAGAAATTCGGACGGGGTTCACAATTCGGACGCGGGTGACATTTCGGACGCTCACCAGGTCCTTGAGGCAGTCCCAGTCGTCCACCAGCGGGTACCCTGCGGGCCTCACAGCGGTATGCTCGTCCTGGTTGCCGAAAAGCTGCAAATGACGGATGATGACGTCACGACAACTTCGAAGACAGGAGTCGTGCGTCTGTTCGAAGTTGTGTCCGACTTGTTAGATTGTAATTTGTTGATAAGACGGTTCACCGCCTCGAGTCTCTTACCCTCCTGATACATAGGTGGAGCCATGACGTCCAAGAATATCGGCCAAGTAAAAGAAGGCAATCACTCATGCCACGTCAATCGCTAGATGTCCTCTTCTCATGCTTTGCCGCCGAAGCTCTTGCATAAAGTGCGTGCAACCATATCACTTCCGTGGTGTGCCATTGTATTTCCACGGCATCCTTCTGGTTGAGGACCTGATCAGACCGCCTGGATACCGATCAAGCTTTAAAAGCAGCAGGATTCGTTCGAAGGGACACGGCAAAGCACAAGAAAGCCGGGTGGCTCACAATCATCCCGATCGCAGTGACCGATTTGTCGACGTGCGCGCGCGTGCTGGTCTGCCTGCTGAACTCCTCGAGGGCATCCGCCTTGCGCTGCGAGCCTGCGGGGGCGTTCGAGTACTGCGAGCGACATTGCAAGAGAAAGATGAGCGGAGTGTTTCGACCATTCTTGATGCACGAGTTGCCAGGAAACACGCGCAGTTGGCTGCCAGAGCAATCCGCTAAGATCGGATGACAAGGCGTTTTGAGTACAACACCGGGGACGGTGAAATTCCAATTGTTTCAAGTAGCAAGCGGAGAGAACGGAGTGTCACAGGCCCCACGTGCTCTTTTCAAGTATCAGCTACAGTATCCCTATCAAATCAAACTCAAAGATGGTGAGATGGAAAAGTAAAGGGTAGCGAATCGAAAGCGGCGGCTCCCTGCGCTGGAAGATGCAAAAAGAAGTTACAGAGATTACGAAGAAGAAACGGATTGACGGCAACGGTCGGTTGTGTAATGAAACCATCCATGACATCAGAGTCTTAGCAGGAAGGAATCGTTCCGGGCCGAGGTTGGAATCGTTGGGTCAACCGGCGGTTGGAATCCGAGGTGGAAGAAGGTGGGAAATGCAATACAAGGTTCGCGCAAGTCGCAGAACAGTTTGGGGCTATTTCAAATTAGGGAGAACCTTGTAGAGACGGGTTCATTGAAAGAAGCTTCTTCGCTCAAAGTCAAAGGTTCTACTTCTTCCGCAGGCCCGTAAACCCTGGCGACTGGTCGCCTCCGTTCAAAGCTGGGGTACAAATTTGGGGTTTGGATAACCGGTTCAAACGAACCTGAAAGCTCCAAAAACCCGAAACCCGAAATCTTCAAAACCTCAAAGCTTCCAAAACCGGCCCACCTTGTGCCAGAGGTGCAGCAGGTCCGCGTCGCGCTGCAGCACGCTCCCCTGCGCGGCGCCAACTAGGCGCGAGGCCTTGTCGTTGGCGGGGTCGCTCCCGATGTACTCCGCCACGTCCTCCTCGTCGATTGCCAGCTCGCCGTACTGCATCACGTGGCTGCCAGCCTGGAAGGTCCCATACACGGACGTCCGGTCGCGCACCTGCCGGGTTGGAATTTCGGGTTGAGACTTAAAATTGGGTGTTTCGATATTAGGTTTGCATGTCAGGATTGGTAGCGGTGTCGGTTGCCGGCCTGGAAGGATCCGTACACGGACGTCCGGTCGCGCACCTGCGGGGTTGGAGTTTTGGGTTGAAATCCTAGGTTAGGGTTCGATAAGGAGATTGCATGTCAGGGATGTCGGTTGCCCGGGTTGATAGCCATTCCGGTTGCCAGCCTGGAAGGTGCCGTGCGCGGACGTCCGGTCGCGCACCTGCGGGTGAAGAGCAATCAGTTACAATCGGGGTTTGAAGTAGGGTCTATGTGACATTAGCAGGTAGGGTTGGGAGAAAACCTGGTTGGAGCCTGGAAGATTATGTTCCTGGATGCCCTGTCGCGCACCTGCAGGTTCAGGGTTTGGAATCTAGGGTATCCAGTCTGGAAGCTTTCCCGGCTGTAAGAGCTACGAATCTGCGGATTGTTCCGATAGCTCCTTTCAATGCGAGACACCAACGTCTTTTCATGCAACTGAGGAGCGAAACCGAAGCCGTTAGAGCTGGCTCGTTGAACTTTTTTGAGGCCCATACGGATGTAGGGCTCGTAAATTGCGGAAGTCCGTTTACAGTCAAAATTGCTGACAGACACGTGCATTACAGGAGAGTCCAGCAGCCCATCTCGAAGACCTGAGGTTTGACAACGAACGAGACTATTGACAAGAACACCTCGGTTGGTAGCCTGGCACCCAATACGAATCTTGAGCCGCAGACCACGTAAAGCGAGCTAGAAATTGCAACAAGATGTATGAGAAGATGACCTGGCAGTGTTGCTCGCCTGGCAGTCAGGCTATGCTGCTTGAGACGCAATCTCATCACAAGGTCCACAGCGAAATTTCGAAATTGCAAAGAAACACCTGGCAAGAGCGTTTGTTGCCTCAAGCCGGCTCTTGCAAAAGCATCCTCCAAAATCAAGCGAAACCTTTTACGGCATCGGAAGTTTGAGGACGTGGAGAGAAGTCCCACGGAGCAATTTTCATAGCCGGACACTGTCAGCCAGAGGCATGGGAAAGGAGCTGAACATGGTACGTTCGAAAAGAGATCAGAACACGCGGAGCCAGACAGACGACCCGGCTTCCCGAGAAAGCGACCCAGCTCAGACGATACCCTTTCGAATAAAAGCGATTGGCGGCCCTCTCGAATGCATGCGACAAGGAACACAGCCTTCTTACAGAGGCATGTAAAGATCCTGAGTCGAGAAGGAGCATCAGCCGACCAGGGGTCACAAGATTGCCAAAGCTTGATGCGAATGGGGTTGGATAATTTACCTGAACCCAAATCGGCCAGGACTAGTACATTGTAGATTTTCTTTTGTGACAGGTAAAACGGCGAAAGAGGACCAAATCCGGGTGCGACAGTGCTCGAGCGGAACTTGGTAGTTGTAAGTACCACGCTCGACTGGTCCTTCGACTGGCGCTACACGTGAGCCTCTCTTGGAGGCTTTGCATCGCCATCAGCCGCACTTCAGAGGTCGATTGTGTGTAGTGCCCAAACGCAAGAGAGGTTTAAACACCAAAGGCGCCACTCCATCTTGAGACAGAAGGTTCTCCAAGTGAGCTTATCTTTCGCCGGCTCTCTTAACGGAGACTTGAAAGGCACAGAAATCAGTCTTTCAAACCAAGTGACCCCCGTGCAAGGCGAGCAGGATAATTCAAATGTATCTACTCTGACTTCTATTTAGAAAGACGACTCCTCAAACTCAACGGTGTACGATCTCTCGACAGATTGGGAGGATCCTTTACCCCAAACCTTATTGATTCCCCTTCTTGGTCTGCCGGTTAATACCTTCTGAACGCCTGTTTCCCGCTTGACGCGATAGAAGGACAACAACCTTCGCTAGCATGTCTCTTGGCATCATCAGGAAACAAGGCAGGAGGCATGGCGAAACGCCAGGCTCTTACTCTCGATCATGTGCAACGAAGAGGCTTGGACATGAGTGTTCGCCACCCGCACCAAGCCACCCCAGCCACTCTGGAGAAACTAGTGTAATGCCACTGACATCCGAAGCCCGTCCAATGGACTTTATTGACCAGATGATAATCTGAGACTTGTCAATGCGTTTGCAACGACCAAAGGCATCGCTTCACTGAATATACACAAAAACCTCTGAAGAAGACTGCAGCGCGCATGTTAGATAGCGTCACCCAAGGCAACCACTCCTAGTGAGAATCCCAAGTGCCATTCCGAGGGTCGAATTGATCACGACCAAATAAGTCTGGGTCCAAGAAGAACCCACAAGAAACCAGCACAAGAAGCGACGAGCCGAGCAAACAAATCCGCTGATGATGAAAACGGTCAGCTTTGAGCTGCTGCTGCTGCTGCTTTATTTGATCTCCCCATAAAAACCAGAAGGCAGATGGGCATCGGTGCACCTTTCGACATATGGAGCTAAAGAGTCCCACGACGTCTCTGTCACAGCCCGAGGGTCGACAGATGGAAGACGATATGGCTTGAACAGTCCTGTTTATTGTGCAGATATGACGGGGCATGAACCATGGCAGCCGTCATAAGAAGCACTTATGTCCGACCTCCTATTGAGACTGTGTAAACCCACACCTCCATCAGCCAGGATTGAAACAACGCCAAAGCAGAAATACTAGAACAGTGACTACTAAGCTGTCTGTGCCTGGGCCTCCGACCAGTGTGTCTCTTCACAGAAGTTGAGAAAAATCATAAACGAGATAGCATTTGGCAAGGCAATAGGCCACAATATTTAAATGCACACCTAGACGTAGGGAACCTAGCACGAAGCTCCAGATGCAGGGCATAAAGAGGCCCGTGGCAAGAACGATACAAGTGATTTGCCGAAGGTTGAGTGAGGACAATGCAAGTTGTTAAAAAGACACGTCTGTATGTTTCGACAAACGCATTAGGTGCGTACAAAACTAGAGGCTCAAAGTGAATGCAACTCTTTGACCCATACCTGTGCTTAGGTTGAAAGGAAGGGATGAGAAACACGAGATGCATAACATACGTCAGACTCGGTCTGTTGGTCAGGATGGGGTAAAGAGGGCGCCCAAATACAAAAGTATAATGGATGATCGGACGTCTTATCGCACTGACCCCTTGCGTCAAGCGGTGTAAAACTAGACGCTTTTCCTGAGGCATAAAGCCTCGGCAGACCTCAAAAGGGGACAGATAAAGATAAAAACGTTACCACACCTAAGGATGCACACGTACGAATCGCATCCTGTATACTGAAGCAAGCTGAGTGGCAGGCACCAATCGCAGACGTGTCCAAACGGATGTAGCAAAACCAGTGGGCATTTCAAATATCAAACCGATGCAGCAAAATGTGAAACGATGGCGTCAGTGTCCTCTCCATGCGGCACTCCCTATGTAAGGAGATGGGGATCCTGGCCATCTTTGTTTCTCCTCCTATGATGCTGCCAAGGGAAAACATGAAATGATGCGACAATCCACAGCCAGCCCCAAAGTCTACGAGGAAGCTCGACAGATGTCTCTCAGCTCAAAAAGATATTCAACTCGTTTTGGGCCTCGCGCATCTCCTCTTCGAAAAGTGTGCACACTCGCCGTTTTCCAGCGATGCATTTTTCGATGGCTTGAGCAGCCGCAAATGCGGCCAGACAATTGGGGCCCCTCGAGTCTACAAACGGAAATCCAGAGGACACCCCCATACCGTCTCGTATCGAGCTTGAGCATCTCGTTCAGATTCCGCACTAAGTAAACATTGCCATAGCAGAGTCGACAGAAGCCGTATGTTCGTTATGACCATTCTGGGCAAAATCTCAAGCTTCTCCCGGCTAGATTCAAAGCAGGATACACAACGACCCAACCTTGGACCTCACCAGAACATAAGGATCTCGTCGCTTTTCACCAGCTTCTACTGTTCTTTGACCATCCTTGTTCAGGTTGTGCACCCTCTCTATCACCAGCCAGACACAGCAAACATCATCTCGTACGATAATATGCACCCTTTCGGACAACCTCCAGACCCCTCACAACCACACACGAAACACAAAGATACCAATCTTCGATATCCAACAGTCCGTAAAGCCCAGGAAAATCACCATTTTGTAATAATCCTCAAGCGTCTCCTCGCTGAAGGTATGCACCTCGCTGTCCTCCAGCCACCAAAGACTATTTCTAAATAATTGCATGCACAGTATTGGGCAAACGTCCCCACCGACCCCAAACCCAGAACGCCAAAACTCGAGATCTGAGCCAGAGATCTCACCATCTTGTACTGGTCCTCGAGCGTCACCTTGTTCAGGTTGTGCAGCCTCGCTGTTCCCTAGCCAAGCCACAGCATACAGAGCTTGACATACAACGCAGTCTCAAAAACCGACCCTCAGACCTCACCAAACCACACAAACCCGTCAAATCTCACCATCTTGTACTGGTCCTCGAGCGTCTCCTTGTTCAGGTTGTGCACCTCGCTGTCCTCCAGCCATGCGACGCTGTACAGGTCCCCGAGGCACGTCTCGAACTCCACCGGTGGGGCCGGAGACATCCCCGGGCAGTAGGTGCCCCAGCTGCTCTCCCACGCATTAGCGGCGGTGGTTCCGTAAATCTACATAAAAACCATTTACAAGATGTTGGACAGCCAATAAGAGAACAGGTGGCAAAGAACCAAAACCACGAGAACTCCAGCCATCTGTCAAGTCCTGGACCATATGCTAGTACGCAATCAACTGAGCCACACGGATCCGCTGCGGGCCAATTGAGCTGATTTCTATAGGTCACCCTTTTTGGGACCAATTGAGTCATACGAAGATACAGAAATCGGAGAATGAAAATCCTCCAGAAACTCTGCTGCGAATGCTAGGATCTGCTGCGACAGGCAATGCAACAAATGTCGGCAGTGGCTACCGACCCGCCCACGGCTTTGCTCTACGAATAGTTTTCTGAGGTTTAAAAAAAAAAACAATAAACGATTGTTTTTTATTTCGAGAGGCAGTGGCGATCGCCCTAGTCCTGGATGGATTACCCACCTTGATATTGGCCGGGAGGAGCCCCTCGAAGACGCTCCCGCTCTCGCATGCCTCGATGTAGACGACCATCTCTTTGAAGCGGTCTGCGGCGGCGGCGGCCTTGAGCGTGGCGACCAGGTCGTTGGCGTACAGGAAGGGGAGGGTCGGCATGCCTGTGACAATGAAAGAGTGTCGATTTTAGGAACATAAAAGACTTGACAGGGTAATAAAACAGTCGCTTTCAGGAGGCAAGTGTACGCGACTGGCGGCGACGGCGGCCCTTGAGCGTGGCGACTAGGTCGTTGGCGTTCAAGGGGAGGGTGGGCATGCCTGGGGCGAAAAGAAACATAAGCCTCGATCAGTGGCAGAAACACACACATATTTGGCAGACTCTGTCAGAGATGGTTAGCAGCCGGTGATGCCTTACAACCGCTATCGTTGGCGTACAGATACAAGAGGGTGGAACGAAAGCTGAAGAGAACCACCGGGAAACGATAGATTGGCACACTTTTCAGAGGACATTAGCAAGCGGGGAGGCCTTAAAGAGCGTGATGAACTATCGTTGGCATACAGAAAGGGGAGGGTTGGCATGCCTGGGCCAAGCAGGTTATGATCCAAGTTTATGACGATTTACTTGAAACTCCGAGAATCAGTTGTCGAAGCAAAGGCAAGAGAGTTTTAGGTACCTGCAGAGAGCGCTTTTCGCACGTGGGCGAAGAGGCACACTCCGTTGCAGGAAACGCGAGCGTTTGGTGCAACTTTGAAAGTATTTCCAAAGATTTGCCTTGAGATTTGCCCGGAACTTTCAGCCGCAGCTTTTATCCCTCGGAAGAACCCCCCCAACCCCCACAATCTGCACCCAAAAAAATGGCCTAGAAGTCCTTGGAAGGTCCTTCTACTAAACGTGGTCAACTGCTACTTCCAGGAGTTGAGTTTCATCCTTGAAAAACTCACCAAGAACTCCTGGACCTCCATGATCGGAGTAATAGACGAACACCCGGTCATTGGGCCCGCTGTCGATCACTTTGCCGCTGCCGCCATTCACCGCCGTCTTGTTCCCCGCAAGCACAGCCAGGAAATTGTGCGCATTCACGGCGTACCCAGTGTAGTCCTGCAGAAAAAGTCCAGTAGTCCAGTAAGCGAAATGTGAAAACTCTTTTGAAGATTACTTCCATCTTCCTCATGGGGGTGGGATACAAAGTCAATTCTACTGAGATGGAAAGCATGGTATCCAATTCGAGAAAAGACTTTTTCAGCGACTTTGACCGGGGAGCACAATGGTTGGTCCCAAAGGCTTGGACGACTCTGAGAGGAGACTTGGAGCCAATGAGATGCACAAAGCAAAGTAGTCACTAGTTGGACCTTTCTTGCCGCACTCAACAGGTCTTGATCCGTGCGTTGCAGAAAAATTTTTACTGCTTAAGCTGAAAGGACGCCTCTATTAGGGCAAACTATTATCACCACAGAGGTTTCAGCTTATGCAAGCAATGAGAGGTTTCCAACTGCCCCAATGGAGACGAGAAGGAGATCAAGTACAAGCTCTTCCAGCGTCACCTTGCCTTGCCTTAAACAGGTTAGAAAGGACAGCGTGGGTTTAGGAGTTTTGTAAGTTTGCGATGGTGCAGAAGTGCAGAAGAAGTGACCACCGCTTCATGATCTGTCTCGTGATGCCTTGCTTGTCTTGCTAATCCAACGAACATTCCGCACAAATTGTTGGGATTCCACATGGGTTATGAGAAGAGTTTTCACTGGATAAGATCCTGCCATGCACGGCTGTGCACCATACAGGAAGAGAGCCCTTTTTGCAAGCCTTTCAAAAGGGGCCCACGTCTGGGTCCACCAGTTGCCATTTTCTGGCAGCAGACAGGCTTTTCTCTGAAGTTTCCTTCGACATCCAGCAACCTTCTTCTGATGAATGCCACTATCTTTCCCAAGAGACTCACAAAATGTTGGAACCTACCGCCGCCAGTTGCACAGTCAGTTCAACCGAACGCCTGTCATATCCTACTTGTCTCTGCGGTTCAAGCACACTTCGAGTCACAAGCAAGCTTGCTTAGCATCATATCCTGCCCATCATTTGGTACTTTCTCCTTTCAGTTGCATGCTCAAGTTGAACGAGCTCACCTTGGGCACCCCTTCGTACACATCTGGACCGTCGGGCCTGTTGATAATCTGCCCCGGACGCGGGTTCTCCGGGTTGTGTGCAATGTCATCGAACATGAAGACAACGATGTTCTCGTCCTTCAGGCCGCCCCTCTTGAGCACCTGATAGGCATGGCACACATCCGCCTGCAAAAGTTGTGTGAAAATTCTGAGATTGACTGGAGAAATCTGGGAGAGTGAAATTCAAGAGTTGCATTTTCCAGGGCTGCTAGGGGCTATGGAAATAATGCCTTGAAAATGACTAGATTGTGCCTGATGAGACAATTGGCATTAACAATGCCAATGCCCATGATATTGCGCTGTCATGCAGCTAGTGTGATCGCAGTGGCATCCGCTAGGATTAAGACCTCCAAAGGCTAGCTTGAGGTTAAAAAACATCAACAAGCTCAAGCAAGTTTGTCAAAGGACAGAGTATAGAGAAATGCCAAAGCGTATGAGTTTGAAGCTTTCAAACCTTGCATTCTGTGATTGTTGGGATGACCAGCCAAAGGCCATGCACGAAGCCCCAGGCAAAGGCAGGCACGTAATGCTGTTCAACACGGCTTGAGACCGCCACAAATCGAAGATGCGCTCTAATTTCAACCGTACGAAAGAAACCGGTGGCCAAGTATCCAATTTTGCCCTGCCATTGACTTGCTAACTCAAGTGCTACAACCTGGCCACAGGAACACCAGAATTCTTCAAACTTTCAAAAACTCCGACGTACGGGGTTTAACCTTGCAATTGCTTGCCAATTGCATCAGCCTTTGCAGTAATAACAGGAAACCCGCTAAAGAAGTTGCTGCTTTCCAGCATGCGGTCTTCCAATCTCCAACCCTGGGCCAGCACTCCAAACCAGTTCAAGAAAAGCCCAAAATGCAAAATTGCCGTGCCAATACCTGATGGCGGTAGTTCCCATAACCGGAGGACCCTGCAATAAGCAGAGCCCAGTGCGTCCCCTCCTCCTGGACCTCCTCTGGCTTGACCTGGCTCGGCAGCTTCAGAAAGTCAGGGAGCCGCACCGCGGTGGAGCAGGCCACTGTCCCAAGCAGTAGCAGGAGGCACAGAATGCTGGATATAGAAGCCATGGCGAGCTAGGAGGGAAGGAAACCTTTGAAGTAAAAGGTACAGCCTACAGGAGAGACGGGGAATGGGACCAAAGAATGGACGAGAGGAGAATTGCAAAAGCAACTTCGAGTTGAACCAAGGACCAGGTACAGGGGCACCTCTTCCCTTCTTTCTACGCAGTGTCAAGTTCCAAGGTAGGCGTTTGCACGATTGGCACTGACACTGGTACAGAGGTGGACGAATACGTGCGCAGCTTACAGCATGACAGCCATGACTCATGTGAGCGCAGCAAGCTCACAAACCCTAAAATCAGCTAGGGAAGAGTGTTGCACTTCAGAAGTGGTACTAGGGAGGCCCGGAAGGCGCTGGGCAAAGGGGCACAGGAGCACAGGAGCACAGGAGCGCACAGCATTGCTTTTGGACTTGGTGTCTGGTTTTGCTGCGGGAATTGGATCCTGCACCAGCCACAGCGTGAGGGATTATACCCGCAAAGATGGACGTTGCGACGGCCCGCGTTCGTATACCTCCTTGGTTCAGCACAATATCAACTGCAGCCTCTTGCTCCGACACTTCCATAGCAACCCGCCAGTCCTACCCCATAACAAGGACACACCCCCGACGACCTCATAGTTGTCGCACCGCAGCCGCTCTCACAGGGTTTAGCCATGGGCTGGGATGCTCCCTGAGCGGCCTAGAAGAAACCCCGATGGTTAGTGGTAAACCCCCCCTGGTGAGGAGTGGAAGAACAGGGGTGGTGTGCATGGCAAACCCGAGGCGGGTTAAGATGGTGGCGCAACAGCTCAAGCGGGAGATATCTGACATGCTGCTCAAAGACTCCATTCTACAGGAGGCGATGATGCCGGAGAGAGCGCTCGGGGTGGACCTCTCGGTGTCGTCAGTGGCGTCGGTCACTGATGTTATGTTGTCTAACGACCTTCAGGTGTGTATCCTATGTTACAATCTTTGTGGCTGACAGTGCTTTTGAAGGATTTGGACAAATTCATAAAGCACTTGAAGAATTTCACTTGAGTAACCTGCCAGTAGGTAGACGACCAGGAGAGCTGTCGCTGATGGAAGGTGGTGAAGTTATTCAAACCAATTGTGTAGCGACCAAAGTGGAGTCTGGCTGGAGCAATTGCACTGCATAGTCCGCTACGAGGGTGGTGTAGTTGTCTTCTTCTTCCAAAAGATAAGTCAGCTCATTGATTGTATCAGTTGCTCGATGGCACCGTTACCATCGAGGGCCTTTTGCAGTCCTCTGTTCCAGCACCCCAACCTGGCGGTGTCATGATGCCGGACAAAGCGCGTATTGAACTTTTATTTTGGTGTGGGGACTCCAGGTGGAGAAGTCTAGTAATTGGGTCTCGTAGCCGCTTTTGTCAATCAATTGGAGGTGTCTTCAGAGGGGCTTTTTCTGTGTGACACCGGAAAGTCGTTCAGGCGCTGGCCTGGGGAGGCAGGCTGGAAATTGATGATTTATTTTTGTATCCCCTTTTCACTCCCTCTTTCCGGTGCTCAGCATTCTGTGGACAGACTCATCCGTCTCTCCAACACCTTGGAAGCACTATCAGCGTCCTGGAATTTTTATAAGGCGCCAAAGCACTTACCCCATTTGTTCTTGCTTGTTGTCAATCGAAAGAACGTCAATCGAACTACCCTGGTTGGAGTTCCGAAAGCTTTTCAGTACTCCACACTTTCAGTATTTGTTCTCGGTATCCACACAATTTCGTTACATAATCTGCAGGTAGCCAAGGTATACGTTTCTGTCTATGGGGACAAGGACGGAATTGACCGCGCGTTGAAGGGCCTGGTAGAAAAGCAGCGGTACGTGCGCTCAGGGATCGCAAAACGGATGTCGCTGCGCCTTACGCCAGACATCCGGTTCATCTCAGACGAGGCGCTCGAGCGGGGCACAGAGGTGGGCGTTTGAGACTCGTATCTAGTTCCTAGAGTCTGGCCCCAAGAAGCCGGTGGCCCATCGCAGCCGTTTTGTGGACGGTTTATTGGGGCGCTAGTGGTGGGGGTAAACTTCTGGTGATTGTTTTGCCTGTAAAGATGCCGGAGGCTTCCTTCGCTCCATCTGGCCCTTCACAGCGGGTGTTGTCCTTCACATCCTTCATGAATTGAGAAGCTGGAGTTGTTTTAGGTATTTGGAAGGAAATGTACAATAGCTCTCCGACCCAGTCGTGTTGTGTTGTCTAGGTGACCACTCAAATGCTGTGTTGTCTGGGACCGCACTACTGCTATGCTTGGATCCGGTTCTAAGAGCCGTTTCCTTTGAGCCCGCATCTTGCATCTCACATCGTGTCCCCTTAATGAGTACTGTGCTCTTAGCAGAGACCAACCGTTCTGGACGGAGCGGAATTCAGCGGCAATCGGTAGAATTTTGAGGCGCTTGGCAGAGTACAAGACACGAAGTGGATCCAATCCTGACTTGCGTACTGTAATGCATCATCAAAATTTTATTACCCCAAATCACAGCTGGTTCATTCTCTTCTTCCCAGGTTCTAGCCATTCTGGACAGCCTGAGAAAAGAGCGCGAGGCGCTCGAGAAGGGCCTCAAAACGCCCAACTACGAGATCCCCGACGATTACGACGACGAAGAAGAGTTTGCGGTGCGATCGGTGGACGGGGGCGCGGAAGAAGGGGAGGATGCGGAAACTGCGGAAGGGGATGACTGGGACGAAACCGACGATTGGGAGACGAGTCCAGAGGAGAACTGGGACGATGAAGACACCGGGGCGTTTGGCGTGGGGAAAGACGACGATGACTGGGGTGAGTGGGACTGAAGGTTGTGTATGGGTTTCGTACGAATTCCATACGAAGTAGAGTACGGAATCCCCTTTGGCTTTTGCATGAGGGGGTACGCTTATGGTGTCTTTCTTTCTGTTAGTCGAGAACTGTCTGCTTGCGTGTGGAGGGGTCGGAATATCTGGGCGTTTGGCGTGAGGAAGGACGACGATGACTCGGGTAATGTCGTTTGTGCATGCGTCTCTTTGTTGGGGAGCGCGCTGTTAGAAGAGTCATTCTGCTTGTGAGTGGATGATCTGCCAAAAGATTCTGGAACGCTTTGAACGGGTTGCAACCCGGTGGGTGATGATTGTAACCATCTTTTGCGAAGCAAATCTCTGGAGAAGTATTGTCTCAGTAATCTACCTTTCCTACTTTTGCCGTTGGCCGAACCTGCAATACGTCTAAGCGGAGTCATTCAAAGCGTGCGGCTCGTGCACATTACTGCCTCGCTTTTGCTGTGCGCTGTGATGGCGGACAGTTTGTTTTGACGTCGTTGCATGGCTCGTCCTACTACCGCTGGTTAGTAATAACCTTGGGCTTCACATCAGCTTAACTTTGGGGACGCTGGAGACTGTAGTCCCTAATCATGCTTCCGCACTATGATTGGGGTGGATGCCTTTTTGCATTGCGTTTGCACGTCAGCAGCACCTCAAATCTCCGCCTGAGGTCGGGTCGAGCTTCAGACGAAAGAAGACACTTATGCCAAGGGCACGACTTCTTTTTTTTAGTAGTATACTCCTCGTGCTCATTCTGTCGTTCATTCTTTGTTGATGGAAATGTCTCCGCTTCAGGGTTCAGAAGCAATTCAGAAGCAATTCAAGCGTTCCACCTCTAAACCCGACGCTCATCAACCTCTGTTCCAGTGCGATTGCAATGTCTCAAGAAGTTGGTATCAAAAAGTTGGTGTCTTTGCAGGCGCGTCCACGAGTCGAAGTAAGGTCGAGCTTCCAGAAAAGTACAGAGGTCGGGAGCTTTCAATTGCTGAGATTCTCAGCTTTGATGACGACGTTGGGAAAAAGAAGGTGAATGAGATGCGGAGTAGCAAAAAGATTGCCAAAAGGAAAGGCAAGAAGAGGTAGGGGTTGTCTATCAAGTTGGATCTCGAGGTAAAGGTACGGTTGACCATTGAGGGAAATTGTTTAAGGTACACATCCGGAAACTGGCCTGCTCATCCATCATCCGGCCCGCGCTAAGTGATTACAGCTTATGCACAGCTGAATGCGCGGTGGGTGATGCACTAACCAGTACTGATCATTACATTCTTAAACCGTCCGCTCTCGCAGGCTGTCAAATGTCACCGCAGCTTTGCAGAAGTACAAGTAGCATGGACAGTGCATGAATGGGACTCGGTGACGAATGATCAAAAGAACGTATGCAATCGATGCACCATGGTGTCAAGGAGAGGAATTCGTCAAGTTTTCGATGCTTAGGTGTTCGTGTACCGCACGGCATGTGCACTGGCATGTGTGATGGTGTCCGAATGCATGCTATTTAAATGACATTCACTTAAAGTTCAGGCCTTTGACATGCAATGATCAGTGCACGACGCGCACCTTGACTTCCAGGCGCATGCATATAGTAAAAAATTTCTGACGGTGTTCTTTCAACTATACGATCTCAGCCAGGCATCCGGTAGCTGGCCGCAAGATGGCATCAGAACAGGGGCGTTTTGGTTACCAAGTCATCCTTGCATACGCAAAAAAGCATTGTCATCTGATGCAGCTCCTTAGCTGTCAGATTGCGATGGCATCTGATGGTTCCACTGACCATTACAAGCAGGGCCGGGCAAATCAGTATTGGAGTATAGCTGAGCCCTGTCACGAAGCTTGTACATCGTACTTGCAGGTTTGACACCGCAGGGTTGGATATCAGGTTAGGCATGTGCACAAACATTCACATTTAGAATGCACTTCGAAGCCTGCAAAGGGGAGGGTTCAAAAGAGGTGTGCAACAATTGGGGGTCATTCTCCTGCTCCAACGAGGGGAGACGTCACGGCTAACGTGCTACCGCAAGGAAACCATACAATGTCTTCGAATCCCTTTTCCTCAATACAGTGGTGGAAGCTTCCATCGCCGCTTGCTGATCAAGCTGCAGCAACCGAGTGACGGATGGGGGGCGTGTGCTTCAACTTGAGGAGGATCTGCATACAGAAATATAAGTTACGGCACGGCAGCATCGATGGATCGTGTTTTCAGAGCTCACTGATGAAGCCCATGCAGAGGCCAAAGGGGCTCCCTCTGGCAACCAGGGAGAGACATTGCAGAGCCATTGCATTCCAACCACAATAATCTGGTTCAGGACCTGGCCTCAGCACATCCGAGCTCAGCTCTCCCTCGGTTGTGCGAAGGAGCAGTTACTTGTGGTGTGTAGTAATGAAATCCTGCAAAGAGCTGTTGCCAGAAGCAGCCTCTGAATGGACCTGCAGCCAGGTTCTTGTGCAAGGAGCTCACCTGACGAAAGCGTGCCAGATCAGTCTGACGCCCTGCCTTCACCTCCGGGACGATGGACTGGCGAGGAGTGGCGCTCTTCCCCTTGCCTGCGCCCTTCTTGTCCTGCTGGGTGTCAAAGTTGATGAAACCCGTGACTGCCTCCCAGTAGTTCTCCCCAGCCTTGGCCATCAGCGAGTCCAGGTTGGCAAGAAGCACCTTCTCCTTTTCCCTGCAGAGAATAGACATTGATACAGAGACAACTTAGCGGAGCGAGTAAGCAGACATTGAAGCCGAACAGTTGTACAAAGTTCTGCGAGCGCCCCAGAACAGAGAACTTCCTTTTCGTTTAGCAGACACATGAACTGTGCCATAGATTGGAGTCAGTGAAGAGCTCACACACAACTGATGACAGAGGAAGCAAAGAGTGAGCGACCAAGAGTGTCTATAAAGCAGAATGTGTCTACAACCAATCAAAATGCTTGTACTTGATCAAGGAGATTCAACAAGCCTCAGAGGGCCTGAAGAGATGTCCTGATCCAACACGAGACCTCAATTACTCCACTGCATTTGTTTTATTTAATTGACCAGCTCTACCAACCCAGCTCAGCAATGGGTGCAAACAACCTTGGAAGAGCACTGTGCTCACTTGTTGGTGGTCTTTGAAGTGGCCACCTGCTTCTCGCGCTGGTCATAGAAACGCTCTCTGTCTTCAGCAGCATGATCCAGAATCTGCACAGCATTAGTAACTCATCGGATCCGGCAATTCAATGCAACCAAGTGACCCAGGGCATCCGCTTGATGCTCAATGACGCAGAAACTGATTGGTCGCAAGACTACCCGATCAATTGCAAACCCTAATTACTCGAATTCAGACCTCGTGCGCGATCTGCATTCAGAAGATTCAGATCAATCCAGAGGGATCCATAAGCCGAGAAAAACATTTTCCAGTGCATTGCTAGCCCATACCTGCGCATGCTTCTCCTGTGAGGTTCTGGTCTTCTCTTCGAGCTCTGCAGCTCGCTTACGGCGCCACTCCCTGCAAGTACATCATACTAGTTTCAGCAGATCCTACGACCAAGGATGATACGGCACTTATGAGAGCAGCAAGCAGGAGCGCCTTGACTTAGAACCCTTGTGTCATGTCTTGTGTCCGCCGAATAGAATATCATGCAGGTATGAATCACAATGCCCTGGACTGCGACAAAGATCTTCTGAAGCAATTGGAATGAAGAATACGAGTGGGATTACACTTGACAAAAAAATCTGCCTTCAGATTCTTATCTCAATTTGAATCATCCAATCTGATAAGACTGCTCCAGCCTTCTCTGGAGCCACAGATCCCAGCTGGGATCAAAAGAAAGACGCAATGTTCCCATTTCATAAGCAATCAAGTCAACAAAAAGGAATGCAACCGCACCGAAGCACCATGGACTCCTCTGGGGGGAGATCCTCAGGTGGAGGTAGAGGGTTGCCGTTAGCCATAGGCTCAAACGCGTCATCCATGATGGGTCCATTGCTGTGATGCGGGGCTGCCCCAAAATCATTCTCTGCATGGTCAAGAGGCTCATTGAAGTGGTCCTCGTTCTGTGCTTCATACTCTGGGGGCTGGTCATAGCCCTGCGCCGGGGCCGGGTCGTCGTATCCATCAAATCCGTGGTCAGCCATGGTTTGGGCTGGCTTTAAGAACCCTGCAAGCGGCGTCCCTTGCTAAAGATGTCGCTAGGAGCACTGATCCAAGGACGCACCCCCGCCCAATTAGCGTTCTTCCTTGCGCCTTCCAATTATAAGGTTATCCTACTGCAGAGCTTGACCCACTTCCGCTTTCAACTTCTGACTTTTCAGAACCCTAGCCTACATCGATTCAGTGCTCTGAGTAGTACTCTGATCCGGTATGGTACCATATAGAGCAGTGTGTGCGCGAGCGTCTTTGTAGCCGTCAGATTAAGACGATCCCCCGTGCAACCTACTATCCGACGGTGCTCAAGTGCAGGGGCCTGCATCGGTACCTACCTGCTCTAGCACAGTGGTACAGTTGCACCAATCTGCTGAAGGTGGCGCTCACTCGGATGCAGTGCGATCACTCGGATCAGCTCATACTAGTAGTACCGTAGTAGGGCCTTGGAAGTTGGGGGCAATGAGACAGGATTTTCAATCAATGCAGGAAGGATGGCTGTGGATCTGTGTGGCGCTCCTGTTGCCGCCAATGTCAAGACTTGGATCCAATCAAAGCAGCCAAGCAGTCAGAAATGGCCGAAGTAGGGGCTCGGAATTGAGGAACTTCTCGTACTGACAATTGTCTGCTATTGTTACATGTAGGACCGCTATTTTGCCAGCCTTGTTGATGGACTGCCTTGGCCTTGGCTGAGCTTGTGCAAGCTGTGAAGGCTGGATGCTGGCCCTAGCAATGATGCAAAAGGTGGAGGTCTGGTTGTCGAGCAGTTATTTCGAGGTTTGAGAGGCCTAGAGATCTGATGTTCAATGCTGCCACTCAACAAACGCTCAGCTTCCTTTAGCATCTGTAGGCAATCAAGAGAATTTACCACCACATGCAGAGTGGTAAACCAAAGGCAATCTCAAATGACTCTCCTACGATGAGGCGCCAGCTGCATTGACACCAATTGCCAAACCCTAACTTCTCGGGATCAGCTGTTGACCTGGCCATGGAGCGTCACCTGGAAGAAGGATCGGGGTACGATGAACTCAGTACTCAGAATGCTGCCGAGACATCAGGAGGGGCACTGCTGCGGGGGCACACCACCAGACTCAATGGATGGGGAGCTGGGGTGGCTGACATCAGCGCGTGGTCAGCGATGCTCAGCAGCGAGGCGCGGCGGCTGGAACGGCATGGAATGGAGGCGGACAAAGACTCTGTTGCCTTGCTAAGGCAGCTCGCTTCAGAGGTGAAGTTCAACTTCTTACAAGACAGCTGGCCAGCACAACCTTGCTGTAGACCACCTCTTGTAGCTGCTCAAAGCTCTCATTTGTTTTGAGAGAACTGACGCTGGACTCGAGCTAAGTCCCTCTGATGTCAACTTCGAAACTGCCATGGTCCTTGGCGCTGTTTACCCTTTCGAATGCCCATGATCTTATTCTTCCCACCATCACAATTGCTCAATGTAGACTCTCATTTGGCTTCAACCCAGCTCGTTCTCCACATCTGGTTCTCTGGTCCCATATTTCCAGTCTAATACTTTGAGCTGCACGCTATGGCCCTGATCTCACTGGTCCATCATCGAAGGCATGGGCACAACTCAATTGTCCCTACACCACATTCAAAGCGCACTCCGTCGGAGGAACATCATAGCTGCGGAGCCTTCCCTTGAAAAGGTGGCCCATTGTGCGCTGTTGTTGAAATAAGGAATTGAGAGGCGCACTTTTCTCTTGGAAGGACAGACCTTAATCTACTCGCTTGTGGTCCCGCGACACTAACGAAGTGGAGTGGCCCTGCTGATGGACGGGTCGCTTTCCTCCAGTGCGGTAGAACGCACGTCAGGCAGTTGTTAAGGTGCCCAGCACTTTCCGACTCTTGGAGCGTATCAGATGCGCACCAGCAACCATGACACGAGTGAGTCCCACCTCTTTCCCTAGGTTCTAAAGATCCAGGAACACATCGACGCCAAGGACGGGGAGGTGCGCGCGCTGCACAAGAAGCTGGCAGATCAGCGGCGGGCTCGGGAGGCGCTCGAGATCCTCAAGCAGCACGTGGAGAAGCTGGAGGAGAGGTGCCAGGTCAGCGCTGATGTCATGTCATGTTGCTCCCGAATTGGTCCGCAACTACTGAGGTCGCTTAAGAGAGTACGTTGCACATTCTTTTCTCCGCTGTTAACATGTTCACCGGCCTCGTCATTCAGAACTGCAGTGAGGCTACAATGGCCCTTTGCAAGAAAAGTGGGCACGCAGGCGATAGGGTCACGGAAAGGAATGAACCCTGACAGTGTACTTTCCTTTGAAGTCTACCAAGTCCGCTTTTGCATTTTAGAATCGCATTGATGAAACCGCGGCCCTCCGCGAGCAGGCGTCCTCTCTCAATCGCTCCTCTGGTACGGAGAACACGCTCCGAGAAAGGGTCATGGCACAAAATGAAGATAGGCAGAGACCTCGATCTGACTCCGAATCTCTAGAATACTAAACCCCGGAAAACGTCCTTAAAATTCAGAAACGCATCGACGAGACGGCAGTCCTCCGCAAGAAGCTCCGCGAGCAGGCGTCGCATCTCGAACGTTCCACGACTACCAAGAAGACGTCCGAGAGAATATCACGGCAAGGGAATTAAGTTTGGCACACTCTTCAATTCTGAGTCTGGAATCCTAAGAAGTTCGAAATCCGAAACCCGGTTTTACATCTCGGAGACGCGACGACGAGACAGCAGCCCTTCGCAAGAAGCTCCGTGAGCAGGCATCGCTTCTCAAATGTCGCACGACCACTGAGAACAACCACCGAGAGAGGGTCACGGCCAAAAGTACCAGAATTGCTCGACTCCTCCCTCCTAAATCCACTCTTGCATCTCAGAAACGCGACGACGAAACGGTGGCCCTCCGCAAAAAGCTCCGGGAGCAGGCGTCGCTCCTCGACCGTTCCACGACCACCGAGAACACGCTGCGAGACAGGGTCACTGCGAAAGAGACGGCGGCCGCGGCGGCGCAGCGCGTGTTGGAAGAGCAGATGGACGAGATGGGGGGACACGTGGCGGCGTTGAGGGAGGATGCGGAGAAACGGGAGGAGCAGCGGCGGCGGCTGGAGGCGGAACTCAAGGTAGCCGTCGAGGTGAGTCAACGGAACACTTTGAATTTCCAGGTATCTCGCAGAGTCGGCCTTCTTGGCGGGATGGGTTTTCCAGAAGGGGGAGGCTTGGTTTGGAAATCCGAGATCGGGTGTGCCCTGGTTGGAAAGAACAAAGAAATCGCCGCCGTAGCAGCAGACGCTGTTAGAGGACAATTCACGAGTGGCGGTAAGACTGGGGAACGAAACAGGGTTCGAGTGGACTTTCACAGACTAATTCGTGTTCACGCTAAGTCAAAGCGGGGTGCGTTAACAGGTATAGGCGACATGAGGAAACTGCAGCAGGAAGTAAAGTCAGGGTGCGAGGGGGCGGTGGGGAGTAGGGAAGGCTTGAATCAGATTGCGAGTGCCAACCGAAGGCACCGCAATTTTGATTACCAATCCGCTGCTGCCATCTCTTAAGTCTCGAACTTCGCTCCCGCAGAAGGAGGCTCGCAGTCAGGACCGCCAAGCAGAGTTGTCCGCCACCGTCGATGCCCTCAAGGCGCAGCTCGCAAAATCGACGGCCGAGATCGCGCGGCAATCGGAGCAGCTGGCCGGCCGCGGCCGGGAGGTTTCGGACGTCCGAATGGAGCTGGCGCGCGTCCGAGAACAATTACGGACGGCCGAACTAGAGCGGGAGGCGCAGAGGGAGCGGTTCGAGGAGAAGGAGGGGGAGTGGGAGAGCGTGATTCGGCAGGCAGACGAGCGATTGGTCGAAGTGAGTTCTTATCTGTCTTCCCAAGATTGTTCGCAATTTCCGTAGCTCGAGAAGAAGGTTCGGGGGGTTCAAACGTGAATCCTCGGAGATGGATATAACGGAAACAAGGTCGCGGAGGACGAAGTCGGTCGCCATGTATCTGACCGTCCAGCGTCTACCTTCTCACGTCCTGAAAGATGTCAAGACGTCTGATTTCCGCTTTCTTGAACATGGGCTTTGAGGCGCTCCATTCAGCGAACAGTGACGGAATAAATAACGCATGGATATTAATCTGCAAACCTGCTGATTCCACCTGGGCTACGTTGAGGAAAAGGCAAGTACCGGCCCATACATAACTTCTTGTCAGCCCCGTCTCTTTTGTAAACGCAAGCCACAGTCGAGCCGAGCAAACTGACCCTTGAATTCGTCCGCCCCTCTAAATGTTGACTCCATCTCACGTCCACAGGCTGACGTCACCATCTTGGACCTCCGCCGGACCCTCACCTCCCTCGAGCAAGACCTTGCGCACACGCGCGACGCTGCTGACGTCACGGCGCGCCAGCTGACAGAGCACGAGCGGTCCGCCGACGACCTCGCACGTGCCCAGGCTGGGGCCATTTCACACCTTGAGGAGGACCTGCGCCGAACGCAGTGTGAATTGGCGGATCTCAGAGACGAGCACGCGATGCGGGCAGCGCCGGAAGTGGAGAGAGAGTTTGTGGAGGAGATTGAGCGGTTGGACGGGCAACTAGAGACGGCGAGAGAAGAGGCGAGGGCGGCATTGGGTGATGCGACTGAAGCTGTGGCAGCCAGGTCAGTAAGAGAGACGGACAAGGGTGCGTGAGGGAACAATCTGGCGATGTCGTAACGTTTTGGCGCCTGTATCCTGCACTCGCCAAGGTGCTATGTCTAGGCAGTCAAAATGAGAGGTTCGTTTCGTGCTCGTTTGTCTTTAGCGCAGGCATGCGACCGTGGTTGGATTGACGGGCTTTGGCAGATTCACGAAGCTGTCCATCGCGCCAAGTACATTTACGATGAACTTTTGCATTTCCTTCCGTTGCATAGCTTCTCAAAGAGCAACAGTCGTGGCGCACTTTTTTGAATCTTCTTGTTGATAAGCTCGAAACGAGTAGCGACCACTCCTCGCCTCGCGAAAATCGAAGTTGCAAAGACAATCCTCACACCATCCTGCATGCACAATCCCACCGTTGATCCGCTTTCTTTCCTTTCCCAGAGACGCCGCCGAACGGCGGCTACTTCACGTTGTCGCTCATGTCGCGGACGAGGCCTCGGATCTTCGCCACCTACTTTCTCACGCCACTTCGCCGCAGTCTGCATCCTACAAACCCTCTGCCCAACAAGGCCTTTTGGGCGAGGGCCCGGAAACGCCAATTCCCGAACCGGCGGGAATGGCGTTATCGACGCTGGCCGTCACCGCTCGCAAGACCGTTCTCGCTCTTAGGGAAGTGCGGGAGCGGGAGGGGAGGCTGGAGGAGGAACTAGAGGCGGCGCGGCAGAGATTGGAGCACGTGGAACGGTGAGCTCGGCCGACCGAGCACCTGGGTCGAGTGCATGGTTTGAGAGTTGATACCGCCAGATTGACCACGTTTTGTGCATGCTAAAAGAAAACCCCGTTTTAAAAAAGCAATATCAAGAACTTTCACAGCGGAATCCAAGTAGCTTTGAGGGGCCGTTCCCATTGTGGCTCCGTGTTGCGTCCTTTTGGGGTCTCTTGTGAGGAATGAGCTGCTTGCATACGACCTCCTATTGGCGAACGTGATACACGGATGATTGCGATATATTGAAGCAGCTTCTGCAGTTTTGCGCCACTTGTTGAGCAGGTCGTTCATGAGCTAGTTCAAAGATAATAGCTCATTGAATCGCCTGCCGAGTGTAATTCATGTTTAGTCGAAGGAACTGCGTCAGCAATCGGAACCGAAGGACTTTTCCAGGCAGGTCATAAGAACGAGGCTCGGATGAGAGTCCTGAATGTCACGCCGTGGCTGAGATTAGATTGATCATCAAGCTTCTAATGTTGTTGACATTTGAATTTGATCTGCAGAGAGCGCCTCGTCAGCACCACAGTTGCCAAGGACCTTAAGCTTCTCCTCGAGAAAGCCCAGGAAGTTCTCGAGCGCCGGAACTCCGACGGGGAAACGGAACGGAAAGAAGCGCAGGAACGGAACGCGGCGCTCCTCGGCCGTTGCTCGCAACTAGAGCGACAGCAAAGGACGCTCGTCGAGGCCGTCGCGGCCGCTTGTGCGGCTCTGCAGGGTTTGGGGGTTCCAGAAGACTTGCGTTCCGGCGGGGGCGCGGAGGAAGAGGGCTTTAGGCGACCCGAAAGCTTGACGGGGCTCCAGGTAAGCGCAAGGCTCTGCAATCTGTACGGAGAATTGCTGACGTTGTCATGACGTTTCGGATGATCAGTAAGGGTGCTCGTTGGGGGTGCTGGTTTGACGTCTTTAGTGAAGGGATCAGAAGTTCGTGACAATCGGCGTTCGTTTCTGATCTTGTCCGGGGTTTCGGTCGAGGGCCAGGTATGGGACTGTGTTGTGGGCAGGGGACGAAACAAAACGGATGTGTTTGAGTCCGCACTTTTTACGAAGGCTGGTTTGTTGGCGCGCTATGTTCAGCTCTTTAGTGAGACCGGGGTATAAGGAGTGAAGTATTGGGACTGCCCCTCCTATAATATTTGGGTGTTCCGATCCATATCTCTGTTGCTCAGAGTGTAATCCTCTAAAGTCAGATCAGCACCAGCGGTTCTTTGTTCGCCTTGTATCTCTGTCCGGCCTGTCATTCCGCTTTGCTTGCTCCGTTCAGGTGAGCCTGGCGGAACAAACGGAGTCTGTGGGCGCCGCCCACGCGACCCTGGTCCGCCTCGCCCGGCGACTCCAATCGGATTCCGCTGAACTGTCGGACTGCAAAGCGGAAGCGGAACGGGCTCTTGACAAGGCCCGCGAAAACGAGGCACAGCTCAGACTGCGGCTGCAGACTAGCGAGGAGGCCCTGTCGAGAGCGAAGGCGGCGTTGGAGATGGCGAGGGAGAGGCACCGGGACGAGTTACGGGGCTTGAAGAAGGAGTGGGAGGAAAGGAGGGAGGGGGAGGTGGCCCGAGCGGCAGACGAGAAAGAAGAGGTTACGCAGGTGAGAAATTAAGGAGCCGATTTTCTGAGAGCTCAGAAGCGATTCAAAGTTGGCAGCAATGAGGTAGGTCTCACGTTTCCATCTGATTTGATTGTGATAGGTCGAGTTTTGGTTGAGGTTCTGGTAAATCTCGGAAGGTTTTGAGCTCAAGTTTCACGACTTTCGACATCCTGTCAAGCATAAGACGATCCTTTGGCGTCCACCTTGCTGAGATAAGAACCCGTACGTTTGCCAGGTTGTGATTTCTAGAGCCCAACAAGCAAAGATGGCGAAGGTTTGGGGCGTGACATTCCTTGGTTATGGGGAAGGTGAATGTGACCATGAGAAAGCGGGTGGACGAAGTAAACAGTTACAAATCCCGGTCGCAAACTAAGCACGACCGTCATCGTAGCCCAACCCTTTGAAGCAGCAGAAGTACTTGACTACGATTTGGCTGTCCAGGAGTTAGAGTCCCGGACAATCGCGCACCAGCTGCTCGGCACAATACAACTGCTCGTCCGATATGCTGCGCCTGTCCGGCAAACTTTCCCGGGCGTCCGGTTGAAGCCCGTATCTGAATCAACCCAAAGTTTTAACCTGTGGGTTTGCTTTTCCAGGAGCTGGAGTCGTCTCGGGCAATCGCAAACCAGCTACTCGGCACCGTCAATTGCTCGTCCGTTACGCGGCGCCCGTCCGACAAAAGCTCGCGGACGTCCGGTGGGCCAAGGCCGTCTAGGCCAATTCTGAACTTAAACCTAAATTTTTAACCTGCGGTTCCACTTTTTCCAGGAACTGGAGTCGTCCCGGGCAATCGCCCACCAGCTGCTCGGCACCGTCCAACTGCTCGTCCGGTACGCTGCGCCTGTCCGACAAAAACTGGCGGACGTCCGGTGGGCCAAGGCCGTCGTGTCCGCACAGCTCCGGGCTTCCGTACTGCAAGTACAGCAGATGCAGACCGCCTTCGCGACATTACAAGAAACTCTGCTTGGAAAAGCGAACGAGGAGAGGCGGGAAAACGGGCGTTTTGGGAGCGTGCAAATTGAGAGCCATTGGGACGAGAAAGGGGTTTACGGTGGAGGTAAGAGTCATGGCCGAAACGGGTTTAGGGGTGTGAATGGGGACTTTGATGTGGACGGGGTGACTGGTGTGAATGCCCACAAAGACGGACTTAACCACACCGGGTTTGCGGAGGGTTTGGCGCCAAAAGCGCGATTACGGGCGGGGGTTTGGGCGGTCGTCGCGCATTTGCGGCTGCTCTCGCTGGGGCGATTCAGCGTCAACCAGACGGTAACCAAGGTCTGCCGGGAAAGCGTCCCGCTGCTGCCACGTGGCAGCGTGCGGTTGGACCGCGAGATGATGATGGCCGTCGCGGGGGCAGGGGCGGGGTGCAGTGCGAGGGAGGAGGCGGAGGCGGTGGTGAAACTGCTGGACACGGCGCAGAAGAGGTCCGTCGAATCCATTTTGGCCTCACTCTAGTTTCTTTCTTTTTCCCTTTTCAGGCACTGTTTCCGTCTTTGCTGGGACTCCAGGACTCCCGAACTCGAAGTCAAATTTTGTTTCAAGTCGAAACTGGAGAAGGCTGCGAGGCCCCTGATGCAACTACAAATTGCTTGCTCCCTTTCCGAAGGCTCTTCTTCAGCCGAGCTTGATTTCTTGCTTATGAAAGGGGGTGCTGACGCAAAATGTTCCTTTAGCGGGAGCTTCGCACCGTTTCGGTCGCTGAAGCCTCACCGCAGAAGACGCCATGAACAATACCGTCGATTGCCACATATTGTTCATCTACAAGAAGTCAAGGGAAATTGGCAACAATGGCTCGGAAGAAGGTGTCTTCTTCTCTGTGCGACTCCTGCGTTTCCTGGCCATTACTTGCTCCGTAGACCCGCGCATAACAGGACGCGCATTGCAACTACTCAATTACTCTCCCTTTCCCTCCCAGCTCGCGGCAGACTTCCCCTCCTCCGGTCCCTCGGTCACTCCCAGGACGGTCCAAAGCTTCAGCGGACAGCTTCCGGACGCTGGTGGAGCGGATCACACGCCACGTGGACAGCGAACGGACGGAGCACAGCAACTTGATAAAGGTGAACGGGCGGCTCCTCGAAGAAATGCAATATCTGAGCAATATAACTTGGGCTCTTTTTTTGGCGCAAAGTAGGGGACGGCACTCTCACCGAAGCCAAAAAATGCAAAGTCTGGTGTTCAAGGTGTGGCTTCGCTTGGACTGTTACTTGATTTTAGTAGCGCATCGCTTATGAGCAGTAGCGACCCTATCACTGGCTTTTGCTGGCTCGTTTGCTAAGGTTCTAGCGTCGTGCTTTTGTATCGACTGTAGCGCATGGGAGTGTTTTGACGGCCTGCAGCGATTCTTCACTTGAGCTACTACTTCCTCTCGTGAAGTTGAGCTCCTTCAAGCTGTGTCCCAGCATTATTGAAAGCGTAAGTGGTAAGATTCCACTTTTTGATAGACTCGCCGACGAACAACCCGGAAGTCAGCCGTTTCGTTGAAACGAAAGGTGGAGGAATTATCAACACTCTCTCCTTTCACGCAACGGTTTTGCTTTGTTGGCTGCCGTTTTATGTTGGATCACGAAACCACTTCAACGTCAATTTTTGATGTGCAAGAAAAGCTGAAACGCACTTGAGTCTTCTCCCCGCAGGCCTTGCACGCTGCTGGCGCAAGTACCGCCAAAGAACACGCCGCCGCTCGCTTATGGGAAACGGAGGCGCGCAAGTATGGCGAGCTGATCGCTTATATGGAGGAAAGAGAGCGGCAGCTCCAAGCGGACCTGAGCCGTTCCGTTCCGCTGGAAGAGCACCGGCGGATCGTGGACGAGCTGAAGCGGATGAGGGCCGAGGCGGAGGGCGTTGTGCGGGAGCGGGCGGAGGTGGGCCGGGAGCTGACGTCACAGATCAAGGTGCGTGACGTCAGGGCATTGAGGGGTGGTCGATTGGAGGGGCAATGGGAGGATCGAGAACGGCGTAACGACGGGGGACAGTACTGCCAGACAAATGGGAGACCGGCAAATGCGCGTAAGGGAACTGCCATGAAAGGATGCGAGGACAGAGAGGGGGGATCGTAATGAAACCCACAAGGTCTTACCGAGGAAGAAAGTTTAAAACTTGTGACTCATGATCCTTATCAAGGAAAGTCCGCCGGAGCTGTTCCGTCATTGCTGCTGGTTCCAACAGGTGGCCACCAAGCTGCCGACGCAAGCTGTCGTACGTCCGCCTCTCATAAATTAGGCAAGCAAGTCAGCTTTTGTGCACCGGTGACGATGCCGTTCGTTTTCGGACAGGTGGCGAACCAGTTGCGGACACCCGCGAGGCGGTGCGGGGAAGAATCCTCGCACAAAACCGGCAGCGAAAACAGACAGTTTGGCCCCTTTGGAAAGTCAGGATCGTAACGCCCTTCGTTCTTTGGACAGGTGGCGAGCCAGTGCGGACGCAGCTGTTGGACGCCCGCAAGGCGGTGCAGGACAGAATACTCGCACAAAGTCGGCGGGCACAAACAAATGGTTTGGCCCTTGTGAAAAGTCAGCATCGTAACGCCCTTCATTTTCGGACAGGTGGCAAGCCACTTGCGGACGCAGCTGTCGGACGCCCGCGAGGCGGTGCACGGCAAGATCCTGGCAACGGACCGCTTGACCCTGGAGTTGGCGAAAGAGCGGCAGCAGCTGGCGCGGCTGCGCGAATCGGCCGCGGCGCAGGAGGCGCACCACAAGCGGCTGCAGGTGAGAGGAGTTTGAAAATAAGTGGGAAGGGTGTTTTTGGGTTCATGGAATCACGAAATGCAAGTTCAAGCTTTAGTGAACGGAGGGGAGATAAGGGCCCCCGGTTCATGTTTATAAATTTCCCGGGGTGGGGCCGGACGCTTTTCATGTTTCGGGGTTTGGGTCGCAAATGACTGGAAACGCTTCATGACAATCGCATGAAAAGCCTTTCGAGGCTTCTTCTGGAAATTCTGGTGTATGGGGACTAACGTACTTGTTGGGATTGTTTTATTTCGCATACTTGAAACCCAAGGGCGCGACATTAACAGCTCAGAGTGCCGGCTAGCGTTGTAATTGGCTATTTTAGGAGCAGTCTCAAAGACAGCAACCCTGGGGAGACTTTGCGGTTTCTTCTGACGCCCATTGCGAAGCAGTGTTCACTTGCTGTCGCTACCCGAGGCAACTGCCAAAGGCATCGTAAGCTCTCAAGCCCAGTGCGTGGCTTAGATACTTTCTGATCTGATGTCATCAAGATTCTCTCCTGACGTCGTCAAACCGTTCAATTGCTCCAGGAGGATTACGAAGCCCTCGTGGAGAGTCTTCGAGATGCTGAGAAAGCCACGCTTGCTGCGAAGCGCGATGTCGACGAGCGTGCTGACGTGGCAAGGCGGTTGGAGCAAAAGGCGGCGACCGCACGGAAACAGTGAGCGCTGCGGTTTGCTGCGGTTTGAGTTTTGGCGTGTGTCTCTATCATGCGAGTGCAGAGCAAAGCTCAGCATGTAACACGCAGTGCTTCATGTCAGAGAAGGCATGTCTGGCCTTTGGAGTGAAGACGATTGACAACGCTTGGGGATCGGCTTCTATTTCCATACCAAACCGCAAGGTATACAGCTGCGAAATGCTGGGAATAGCGTACTCAAGACCCCGGAACTCCCCTTGCCTGGAAACCGAAACCCAGGACAACCAGATCCAAGCATCTCTCATCTACAAAGTAATCAAGATGGCCCTCTGACACCACCTGTTTTTTGCATTTGCAGCATTTCTCACGACGGCCCGTCTGAGCGCGAGTCACAGAAAGCGCTGTCCGCAGTGCAAAGCGAAGCGGCGGCGGCGAAACGCGAGGCGGCGCTGTCGCAGCAATGGTTGCGGCGGCAGAGCGATCTGTGCGAGGAGCTGACGGGAAAGTCGCAGGACATGCAGCGGCAGTTGCTGGCGTCACGCGAGCACGCGCTGACGCTCCGGCGGGAGCTGCAGGTGGGTCGATGGGTTGTTAGTACGGCGAGGGTTAAACTAAGGATTTTGTAGTTTGATCTTGAAGGTTTTTGCTCGAGCACGAAAGGACACTCCGACGCGAGCTGCAGATGGGTTGACGGGTCGAGACTACGGTTGCTTGCGGGTTTCGATGGTTTCAACTTTCAGGTATCGGATCGACGGTTTTCAAGGGTCTTACTTCATCGCGCTCTTGCCGCATGCAGCAGCAGTTAAGTATTCCTATAGTTTAGGTAGGATAGTAAAAGTCCCCGGGGGAAAACAAATCTAAAAACCTGAACCGACAAATACACTCGCTCCGCACCCGTACCCACCCTAACCCCCAGACTAACCCCACCCGTTTGCCGGTTCATGGCCATATCCTACCTAGGACTACCCTACCTAAACTACCGTATAGGTCTATAGCAGTTAGGCGTTGCACCTGCACGCACCGACGCTGTCCAAAGTTCCTTTGAAATCTGAAAAGAGATACCTATCTCGGCAGGGGACCAACTCTGACGAACATTTCTGCCTCCAAGGCTGCACACGACTTTCCTCGCACATCATCGTTTTTGGTTCGCCGTGAAACTGCAAACCCGATCACGTCTTACAAAGTAAAGAAAAGAAGGCTGCCACTCGCGCATCTGCCCTCGCATCCGGATTCCATCGCCGCACTCCGAATGGTTGCCGTGCAGATCGCTATCTGGCAGCCAAGTACCCAAGTAACCAGCGCACTTCGACCGGTGACGGTCGATGTTAGGACTCCTAAGCGTCAGGAACAACGAGCTCCCAACCAACAATGCAGAGTTGGCCCAACTCTTCACCTGCTCCGCACTCGGACTCGCTCTAAGCCCCCAGGCTAATCCCACCCGTCCTCGGGTGGTCAGTTCAATAACCTGAATCCGATATTCATCTCCGACCTGATCCCGTGCAGAGCGCCATTGAGCGGGAGGTTGCGGAGCGCACTGACCGCGCGTCGTGGGCGCGCGCACGCAGCGAGCTGCAAGCGGTGCGCTCGGCTGCGGAGGAGCAGCTGGCGGAGCTTATTGACACCGGCCCTGCGCAGGAGAGCGCCGCTGGTGTAAAGACGCTCGATGACGGGAACGCACTGGGTGGTAAGCCCGGAGACAGGGAGGGAGGCAGTCGGCCAGCGGAAAGTAGGGTCAACGGACGGAATGATTTAATCAAGAGTAGGAGATTGGGGGAAGAGAACGAGGGGAGGGATCGGTCACTGAGTAAAGGTATGGCGGAAAAGGTGGAGAGTAGGCGAGAGTACTCGCATTCTCGGAAACTTACAGATGGGATTGCGGCTGTTCAGGGTATGGAAAGTCCGCGGGTCAGGACAAGGAACAGTGCGACAAGCTGGGCTGTTGATGAAGTTGAAACGGCTAGAAAGTCTTCGGTTACACTGCAACCAGAGCGTATGGTTGGAAGAAGCCGGGTTGAGAGCTCTGGAGGGCTCCCTTCAGCGGAAGGTTCAGAGTCCGCAGCGGAGGAGAAGGTTAGCGATTGGTTAAGTCAAAGCGGGAATCGTGACGCAGGACCAGTCGGGAGTTTGGTAACGGACAGTCACGTAGGTCTAGAACGGAAAGACGGGTCAGGCACTCAGCGGCTAAGAAGCGTTAGCCGTCAAAGCGACGAAAAAAGCAGGAAAATCAGTAGCGCAACCGCACCGATCGTACAACGTCAAAGTAGGAAGCCAGCCCCCTCGCTTCCGGAAGCAGGCTCCGTCAGAGTCCGCTCAGCCTCTGTGAGCGAGAAGAAAATAGACAAACTAATGCAGGCTAAGACGAGCCCCTCGGTGAAGGACATGATAAGCGAACTGCGAAAGCTGGCAACTATGCAACCAGCGATTTGAAGTGGGAGGCAGATAAACAGGAACCGTTGACGCTCCAAGTCAGACTAGCAGTTTAAAGTTTCGGATATCTGCACGCATGATAGATCTGATCAGTCGAGTCAGAAAAAGATCATGGCAAACTTCATCTGTGGGCGGGCTGGACTTCTGACCGTGCTTGGTTGCGATTGGTTCATGTCGATGCATCTCATTGACGGCTCAAGAACGTGGTTCCGTTGCTTGACGCCATGCGCTGGCGTACTGACCTGGCAACCTGCCGGAGCGCAACAAGCCTTCAGTAAGGTTTTACTTCGTATGTGGTACGAGAAAGTCATGTTTTCTACAGAAGGAGTATATAAGCGAAAAGCTCGTGCAACTTAGTCATGTTCAATCCATTGATTTGGGCTGAAAGCGCCGGCGGCCTACATTGAACCAGAAGTTGATTGAAGTGAGGGTTCACAGGCCCGCGGCATCGATCTTCAACTTGAGCTTAGTGCTGTACATGGTGTACGTGCAACATGCGCACCCGACACCCCCTTTGTCCCAGATTGAATGGAGATGAGATAAGGCTAGTACCGTACGGTATGTGATGCGAGACTCTGCAATAATCCTCTTCCAGCCTTTCAAACTGTTCGTTCGTATTTGAGCGGATTTGGTTACCGTCACCTTCATGAAGCGCTCTTCCAATCATATGCCCATCATGTGTTATTACACGATGCATGCATCGATGCATGGAAAAGAGGAAGTATTTTACTAAGGCATGCCCGTGCAATTCACGTAGGCTGCAAGCTTACAACCTACATATGCATACCCGGTCACATCATATTCGCCACCTTCATTTCGCCTCATTCTTCACACCCAGAGTGTTGCAGGATAAGAAAGCATGATTACTGTGATCTAGCTTGACGTCTCATCTCAAGATGCATGCACATGGTAGGCGGAAGCAGTTCTGGTCCTAAGGAACTCCCATCATGTAAGCCTGACTTGAGCCACTTGCGAAAGGGGGTTTGGACATTCATGCTGGATCACATACACTATGTTGGGTGGTCATATTACTGAACGCCACAGAGAGCACCTGGCTCCCAAGTACTGGGCAGCATCTTGACCCGCAGATGAAGTGGCCTGAATTGAGCCGAGTTCAACGCAGTGGGAAATGAGCAATCCTTCCCTACCACTAAGCTTATCTGTTTAAAAGCTCAGGTTACTACGACTGCAAGCAACTCCACAGCCGCTGTCCAACTCAATCTAATCCATCAAACAGCACAGTTGATCGCAGTCCACTTCATGGACAGGTTCAGACTACTTGCAACGGCCACTTACTTCCCACAGCTGCGATCACAGCTTGCAACTTACACTTGATATGGGATAAGCAAGCAAAGCCAGACATAAATTCAACACATTACCTCAAATTCTGAATACTTATTGCTGGTCCTTCTGGTCTTCACCTTCGCTAATCACTTGCTTTTTCCTACCTCGTAACCGCTCGTCTAAGCTCAGATCGTCTTGCGGGTCCGCATTTCCAAAAGCAATCTCGTTCAAACTCTGCCCTTTCCTCGTGTATGAACCCCCTGACTCAACAAACGCTGGGCATGGCCTGTAAGCCTTAATAGGCCACCAGCCGAATCCTGGCACCCCCCCCAGACCTCCAATCATTCTGCCATTCCCGTCGCACCCCCCCTTTACCTCCTTCGCTCCACAGGTTGGACATCCCCCCTCAGGGCCTAAATCTGCCAGCTTTGGCTTGACGGCTGCCAGAGCTTCGTCGACTATCCCGACAGGCTCTGTTGACATCTGCAGTCTGGCAGCATTGGCCGCTCTGAGCTTTGTAGACCTCTGCCTTCTGAGGTACTGTCTGCTTCTGAGAAGAGGACTCTCAACGCAAGAGTTTGGTGGCACAACGTTCACATCATTGATAAGAGATCCGGCCGACCACGTCCTTGAAGCCAACGTACTGGACGCCATGTCACTCAACTTTCTGCGCCTTATACAATGTGGACTTCTCTCCAACTTTAAGGTACAAGCCCGTGCAACACTGCACCGAATGTTTCAAGGCCAGGACTCCGAGGAGACGTTCACTTCAACTTCAAGTTCAAGCTCAGATCTGAGAAACTGTTCAAGTTGTGTCCGCGGTCGCGACCCAGGCTTGAGCTCGCTTCCAGTACCGGTATGTTGACTTCTCTAACAGCCCGTGCACTATCAAAGGCATGGGGCTACGGTATCGTACCGTTCGCTTCAGTGTTGGATTACCGGGCATTTTGTAGTCCAGACTTGCCACGCCAAGCTTCCCAGTTGGCTTCAACGGTAGGTACCTCGTGAATGGGTGGGTCATACCGGTATGTTGCACAATGGACTCGCTGTTCAGTGTTCTTCTTTCTTCAACTTCAACGTGGCTCCTCTTTCATCAGCTCCTGTAGCCGCCCCTTTCAGATGTAAAAGTGGAGTTCTGCGTAAGGTTTGTCGGGAATGCAGTGGATCCCCTAATCAGGCCCCGCTTTGTTTCGCCTATGTGAGGTCAAGTGAAGATCGAGGCCATGGCCACCAGAGTTCAGACTTGCTGCGGCTTTGATGCGTTGCCCGACAACTTGGTGATACGTATACTGGGCCTGGCTGCAGCAATACATGTGGGCTACCCCTCAAAAGTATCGGTGTACTTTTGGCTGCTGGCAAGATTGAGGACAGTGTCTTCCCGGTTCTGCCGCTTGGCATTGCAAGTTGATGGGATAGTATGCCGCTTAGATACCGACAGGACGATGGATGCAAGAATCCTTTTCTTTCTTCAAGAAGCTGAGGCTATCAGAAAGTTGTTTGTGATGGGCACACTTGAAAGCGGCCTGCCTACCTCTAGCATCGCTGGCTTCATAACGGCAGCAGTGAACCTGACTCCTAGATTAGAGTGCTTTTACCTTGAACTTGGGAATCTAACTGTTGAGGTGCGGGGCATTCTGTCAGATGAGCCCGCACAACAGATTTTCAAAGCGTTATCCAAGTGTCCTCTCCTCAAGTTTGTAGAGTTGAACACCTGCAGACTCTTCATAGAGCGCCGCCTTCACGCTTCCGCACCTTTCCACCAACTCAAGGAGCTCATTTTCAAAGGGTCGAAGTTGCTGTCCACACAATCCATGTTGGAGTATTCTCTAGATCAAGTCGCCCCAGCTTTAGAGAAGCTAGTTCTGAACGCCTTCAACGAAGGGTCGAACATCCGGATAGATTCAAGACTGCTCAAGGTTCTTGTGTTCGATGATTACCTTCACTCGGGAAAGTTGAGGAAGCTGGAAATCAATATACCACAACTGGAAGAACTGTATTTCCTTTCCAGCGACGAAATAAGGATAAACGCTCCCAAGCTGCGTATGCTCACCTTTCTGAACCCCCCCAACATATCTATAGTTGGGACACCATGGAAGGTGACAGAGCTGTGTTTATGGGGAACCTGGAATGAGGAGAATCTTCTTCAGGTGCTTGAGTTGTCGCCAAAGCTGGCAAGCCTCATCTTGTTAGCATTTTCTTTCAGCACCAACAACATCGTAAGAGCAGCTGATTTTTGGGCATGTCTTGTGCGGTTGGATTCTTTACACGCAAGCATGGGCCTGTTAACCAGATTGAGGACCCTGTCTCCTCAATCAAGGAATGCGACCTTGCCTGTATGCTTTAGGAACCTGACAAAGTTGAAAGTGGTAGTGAACAACATGGAGCAACTACATTTCTGTATTGAGCTTGTTGGGGGCAGTCCAAAGCTGGGATCTTTAGAGATAGATATGCGGTGTGTAGAGGGAGAGCTAATCAATCTTGTAAGCACGTTCTTGGAGCTGCGGCAAAGAAAGCCGGACCTGGCACTTGTCGTACTTGAGCCAAAATTTGTAAGCGCAGAATCTGAGAACTCTTTGTTCTAGGCATCTGCCAAACGGATGAGCCCCGCGCATCAGCTCTGAGGATGACATTATATTGTACGCCCAATTTGAAGTATGTTGAGTTCGATTTGGCAGCTCAAGGCAGGAATCGACCATGTAGATTGCCGTCCTCAGATTCCACATATCATTGATAGTAGAAAGCTGCATGTTACAATATCAAGTCACACAAGCCATGCTTATGTTACAGTTAACATAGGAGCATTAATACGATACCTGATATGTTCTGCGTCCTTGCATGTGCATGGGGCCATCTTGCAATCAATTTCAGTGTACGGTAGTGGCGGCCATGCCGCGGCCGTACTGTTGCAGTATTAGAATATGATATTCACAGCTATGGCTCACGAATACAACGGGCAACACTGCACATGCATGGCTGCGCGGCCTGCTCTGGCACGAATGATGAATTCTCTGATTGACTTCAATCAATCTGCACTTGATTGATCGATGGTGTACATGCCCGCAGCAATATTTGCTAAAGTTCTTTACCATGACAAAAGTGATCGCCTTTCCAACAATTCGGGGCCCATGCACATGTTGACAGCCGTCTTACTCTATATACCGAAGTTCTCATTGAATGTCGCCAAAACTCTCGGTCAGGACATTTCAGACGATGTCAATCGATTCATTTCAGTCGATTGGAAACAGTGCAAGTCATGATCATGCACTGTGCAATCGCCATCACAAAACTTCATGTACGTCTGGCCATTTATAATAGACTTATGATTGTCACTTGCAATCGTCATTTGATCGTGCACTCTTGATCGATTGCCACTTGGTGACCGATTTAGTACACATCACGCGATTGCGTACAACTTGAACACTCTTGTTTCTTGAAACTCCTTGCACTTATGATGTGCAAAATTGACCGTGCACACGAGCATCTAGATCCATTGAACTGAATCCCAAGAATTGGCTGCCTTCGACTCGTCGACGTACATCTTGCGGAAATGACGTCAAGGCCTGTTTGACTCTCGTCACAAACTGTGGTGTGGTGTGGCCTTTTGAGGTTGGCAAAAGTCAATCCGACGGGCATTATAAATAAGCATCTTTGAATCACGAAGCCCTGCAAACTATCAAAATGGATGCCACCCGAGTGGCAATCACTGTTCTCAAATCAAAGATCGACTCTCAATTCCATCATTGCGCTCTAGGCGTCAATAAGGTGGTTGGTCCCGGACAGCTGCTTGAGCTTCTTGGAGCAGTCGAGGGTGTACGTGGGCGACAGAATCGTGCTGACGAAGCAGAAGGTATGGGTGGCGTCCGTCTTGGTGAACTCGGTGATGGCGTAGCCGTGACCGAAATGGTTGGAGTACCTGCACCGATGACATACGAGGTCAGGGTTGTCAATCATGGCGGTCTACTTTCATATTGCAGGAGAGTTGGGTCTCTCTCGGATCTATTTCAAACGTTTCGGGAAAGAGAAAATTTCCGTGATCGGCCGGGGAGATGTGGTCAGAGTCAGATGTGCAGGTGAAGAAGGGCTCGACAGATGCGGACCCGCAAGGAGCATGTCTCTTTCTTTGCATATCCGGTAATGATCAAGCTCGGATAAGATTTCTGCGGTCAAGTGACGAGGAAGGCTTTAACTTTCAAGGCAAGGCAAAGCCCTCTACACGATAAACCACCGGAAGAGGCGAACGCGGAGAGTACCCTGGATGTCTCAGCACGATCTCATAGCTGCCACATTGCCACAAAACACGGCCAGACACATCTGTGAAAGGGGCGGCCTCCTCTTGTCTTAAGAGCATAGTTCAATAACGTTCCATTCACGTTCCGTTTCCGTTCCGCTCACCTGAGGTGCGGCATGAGCGACTTGAGCGTGTCGTCCAGCTTCACGGCGGACGCCCTGGCCGCCTCGGTCTCGCCAAAGAAGGCTGACGTCACTGACGTCACCGTGATCTCCGTGGCCATGCTGCCCAACCCGGTGGTGAAGTTAGCGTTAACCCCCAGTTTGCCGAAGGTGCTGTTCTGGTTTGGGTTGCCCAGGTAAGAGCGGCCCCAGGTTTGGAACGGGTAGAACGGAACATCGGAAACAACGGTGCCGTGCCAGTCACCGGTTGCAACGACCACGTTGTCGATTGCGTTACGGCGGATGTGGTCCAGAACCTGCCCGGGTTGAGACGCGGGTTAGCGCTAAACGTAGATAGTCATTGCTCAGCACAGGTCGTTTTCAACCGCGTTGCGGCGGATGTGGTCCGAACCTGCGCGGGCTTGACGTGGGTTTGGTGCTAACCAAGGCGTGATCCTTGGAGGGTAGTTGCATCTCACGGAGATTATACGAACCGGATGTTTGACCGCCCCGGAGAAGACGCGGGTTCGCACTAACCAGGGCGTGATCATTTGGGTCACGGGAATAACACGAGTTGGATACTCGGCCCGCAAGATGTAAGACTTCTTTGGGCTGTAAGCGCTGCGGAGCTTGCATCTCCCAACCAATCAAAGATTCATTCTGACGTCACTGAGCAGCTCATGCTGACGTTCTGTGAGGGCTTCCGTGTCTGCCAGAAAAACTTTCACAGCAGTCAGCAGGCTCCGTCGGACACCAGAAGACAGCCAAATGAAGCCCAGGCCGTAAATACGAAACCCAGGAAAATCTTGACTGTACAAGATGCCGCGAAAAAAACGCAAAGCGTCACCTGGAATCGGGTTTCGGGGTAGGCATCCCAGCCGTCGCTGTAACCAATGACGGGGCCCAGATAACCGTTGGTATCCGGGTCGTCGATCGTAACCGGCATCTCGGTGAAGAGGACCTGGTTGCCGATCATGCGCCACACGGCGCCCCGGCCCTTGGAGTCGCTGCAGAAACGGTTTGGCCAGGGGTTTCGGTTGAAGGATTAAGGGGTTAAGGGGTTAACGGTTAAGGGTGAGAAGGACCTGGTTGCCAATCATGCGCCACACGGCGCCGCGGCCCTTGGAGTCGCTGCAGAAAGGGTTTGGCCAGGGTTTGGTTGAAACGTTTCGGGGTTAAGGGGGAGAAGGCCGTGATTGCTCGAAGATGCGCCACACGGCTGCACGGCCCTTGGGGTCGCTGCGGAAACGGTTTGGCCCAGGGTTTTAGGGTAAGAGGTTTTGGGGTTGGGAGTGAGAAGGACGTGATTGCCCGAAGATGCGCCAACGGCGCCGCTGCCCTTAGAGTCGCTGCATAAAATGGAGAACTGTTTTGGTTAAGGTTGCCAACCCAGCTTTCGAAGTTTTTGGTTGTGGTCCACGATGCTGAGCCGTCGGCTGTCATTCCATCGTTATTCGCATGGCGCAAGAATATGAACATGTTCCAGCGTTTTGGAATTCATTGGCAGAACTAACAGAATGAGCTATAGATGGAGCGTATCAGAATGTTCGTTTGAAACGCAATTCCTGCTAGCAAGCGCCTGCAATCGAAGCGGCAGTGGAGACGGAAGCTCGCTCTCCCATTCTGACTGTCCCAGCTTCGATGCCAGCTGCCCCTGTCTCATGTTGTTGAAATCTGATCAATTAGTGGGCTTTCCAAAGCATTCAAGACCGTTCGAATGGAAAAAAACCAACCATCAAAGAAGCGTGAAACGTTCCATGACTCCAGGTGAATCGTCCGTGCGGCCATGCGAGCGAATCCACTGCCTTTCCGGATGTCACGGTCTCGTACTGAACCTGGAGTGACTATATAAACCTCGACCGTTGGAAGAACAGGATAACCATCTGGCGAACCTCGACCGTCCGATGGACTCATCTGAATTGTCCCTGCAGCCACACCAGCTGTCCCTTTCTCAAAAATCCAAAGACCAGAATGTGGGCTGTTCGAGTGGGCTGTGCAAAAGCATTTTCAAGCGTTTAAAGCTTCTTCGACCGTCCAAACAGAAAGATCAACCAGTCAGAGCAACCTCGGCCGTCCGCTGGCCCCCCTGAGCTTTCCCTGCAGCCACTCGGACTGTCCCTTCTTTAGGTGTTCAAAAAGAGAACCTGGCCTGACCCAACTGGAGTAAACGCGGGGAAAGCGCGCCTTCTTGACCGTGCAAATAGAAAGACCCTCGACCGTTCGATGGCACACCTGAGCGATCCCTGCAACCACGCGAGCTGTTCCTGTCCTATTTGAGGCGTTAACATTACATTGGGCTGCCCATACAAGAACGACATGCGAAGTCCAGATCTCATTCGTCCGTTCAAAGCATCCTCGACCATCCAAATAAAGAATTGGACCGTTCAAGTGACTTCCGACCGTCCGATGGCCCAACCTGAGCTGCGCCTGCAGCCACTCGAGCTGGGTCTCCCCCAGCATGGTACGCGTCCGGTCGAACAGCACGGCAAACTTCTCATTTCCTGCGGTGGTGTTAAGGACCGGGGGGTCTGGCGGGTCGTCGGTTTGGCGGTCCCGACCGATGATGCGCGTGTCCACCATGATGAGATCCAGCAGGTTGCCGATCTGGAACGACCGGTAGATGCGCAGCTTGAGGTCGAACTGCACCTGGCGCACCGGCTGGTACTCGTACCTGCCACGTGGAGGATAAGTTCTGGGGCTTTTAGAGTTCAACTTACAAGGCTCTGGTAGCTGCGAGCCTTCAAACTTGAACGCTGTTACAAGATGTTGAAAGGATTGTTATGGCCGCTCTAGCAAGAGCTGTAGATGCGTACCTTGAGATGGCGCCAGGTGTGGTGCATGATACTGGTTTCTGTCAAGAAGACAATGGATTCGTGTACAGGCTTCTGGGGGTTTCAGGCTTACGACATTCTCCTGTTTTTGAAGTAAGGATTTAAAGAACGGAAGCGTGGACAGGGATCGGACCGCTACGTCGGTTGCCATGTATACCTGTGTTGCCTAGACGAAGCTGGTTCCAGGTAGTGGGTAAAAGTATACCGCGTTGCAATGGCACAATAAGAAGGCCTTTAACTGACGAAATAACCACTCAAAGCGGACGTTGACAATCTTCACAGATCCCTTGCTGCGGGGATCTGCGGACTAGCCTTCATTTCGAACGAGTAAACCCCACCTCTTCCGTTTCCTGTATGATATTGTTCCTTCTCCACCCACAAGAAGTCAATTTGCTGGCCAATACTCGACTGTCTAACAAGTGGCACCACGTTCAGGACCAACGCCTTTTCACTCGCACGCCTTCCAGCCTTCTACCCCAAAATGACGTCAGCACATCCGACATGACGTCAGCACAGCCCCGCCGCTTACCACGCGCGCACGGACGCGGCCAGCCGTGCCTCCCACGGGCCCTGCGTCGCCGTCTTGTGGTTCTGGGCGCCGTTCCTCCAGGCGCTGCAGGGAAAGATTCCAATCGATTTAGTGACCTGTAAGCCAGTGAACGCTGACTGGGACGGGTGGGGCTAGTAAGGGGGTTAGGGGGGTACAGGCGCGGAGCGGATGATCTTTTGGGTTGGGGAGTTAGTGAACCTTCAAAAGCTTACAGTTCACTGGGCTTACTAGCTAATGGGTTGGGGTCTACCACGAAGGGAACGATCGAACAAAGAGAATAAAAGCAGTGAGGAAATGTTCGAAAAAGGAGTGCGAAGGAACGGCTCTGTAGCCACTCAATCCGTAGCAGCGCCGAAAAGCAGTGCGGGAGCTCTTTTGCTGCTCGAGTGATCTTTCCTGTAATTTATGCAATCCACCGGAAAGGTTGCCTGACCATTACAATCGGGTCAGGCCAACCCAGCGTTCCGTGGACCTTTATCCTTGTCACCAGTTGTGTCGCATCGTTTCTGTTCCTCGACCGGCGTCCAATCTGCATGCTATCTCCCGTAGTCTCAAGTGAAATTCTTTGGACTAGGTCGGCGGAAATTATCGAAGGTTCCCCATTTCAATACAGAGAAGAATCACTTTTGATCCTACTGGACGGCTTCTCTTCGAGGCGCGGTGTCGTCAGTACGCACCAGAAACGAGCAATAAGCTGCACTTGACTAATGTCGTCGTCAAACCCGAAATCTAGGAAAACGAAGCGTATCGTAGAAGTATCTTTGTTGAAGCCTCACTTGTTGGTGGAGTCGTGGTCGTCCCACACGATGACCCAGGGGTGCACGCGGTGCGCCTCTTGTAGGTCCACGTCGGTCTTGTACAACGCGTGGCGAGCCCTGGTCATAACAAGCATTGCAGAAGTTTTGCATTTTGAAATCGTAGGGTTTTTGCAAAACCTCAGAGCACACTCTTTCTGACTTCCTGGAGTTTGATGGGTGGGGCCGGACCCTGTTCAGAAAAACGCTACATCTCTCTCAGGACTCTAATTGCATATAGGAACATTTGCATACAAATGTGGCAGGCACAGCGGTAGTTTTCAAGAAAAGAGGCGCCAGTGGGGAGAGAGGGCAAACTGAGTAGGTCACTGTCTTACGCCACGAAAGCACCCAAACATGGAGGACGTCGAAGATGTTTCTAAGAGTACCGACAAAGTGGCCCGTTACGAAGACTCAACAGGGGAAGAAGCACACGGATTCTGGCCCCATCAAATTGACCCTAAAATGAAAGGACTTCAAAATTCTACGGGACAACTCCACATATCGACTGAACTCTGTCCACCAGAGAAGATAGCCGTTCAGTGGTGCCGACCAGAGGTCGTCCTCTTGACGCAGCTAATACTGACGTCCCTTGAATGCCTTGAATCCGGGTGGAGAGTAGAACCGCTTGCCCATGTTTTTGCTCGACACTTCATATGTCACGGCTCCTGACAGCCTGAGTTCCCTTTCATTATCAACGACGATACTGGAATTGAAGGAACTGACTCGCCATTAAGTAAGCTGCGAAGTGCATACCTGTACTGCTCCAGGGTGACCGTCTGGAAGGCCTGGACCTGACGGGGCGGGCTGAACTTGGTGGCCTGGGCTGCAGGGAGACGAAACGGAACGGAACAGGTGAGCGGAACGGAACTGGTATACGGAACTGGTGAATACGAGCGCAAAGGACATTGAGCAGAAGGGAATGATTGGACAAGAGCCGCAGAAGGACAGAGCGGAACTCGTAGATAACACAGAAGATCCGGAGTTTCAAACACCTAATGCTGTCCGAACGTCGCAAGCGTCACTTTGGCAAAAGGTCTTTGAATCAGAAGGACGTGCCGGCTGAACGTACTGGTTGACAGGTCATCGTGAAGCGCAACACGTCCTTGCAGTCGATTGCTGAGAAGTTTTAGAGGACGGGGAAGCTATTCCGCAGACCTCGTCAAGTTTTCCCTTTTCTACGGTTGTCTTGTTCAAGTATCGTTTAGGAACGACATATGACAACAGCGACGTACTCGTCACTGTCGAAACAGAGATAGCTCGCTCGTTGCTTTCGTGACACTTCGCTTTTCTCCCAACGGCGCATTATTAACAAACAACTCAAATTGAACACATCGAGCTGAATGAAAGCGCGATTTCCGTACTGATTCGTGCTCCAACGCTTCACGCCAGCAGCCTTTCCACGAAGATCGGAAGCGCAAGCCTCGTGACAAGATGTCATTCAAGACTCACAGGCGGTGGCGTCTTCATACCACAAGTGACGGCGGCAAAAAATCCACATCACATCCCTTCGAAGATGCCGAAGCACAAGCATCTTGAAAAGTTTCCGCTCAGAACTTGAGACGAGGCCGGCACAGGACCCATATCGAGTCCTTTCAGAAGAGGCGGAAGCGCAATTCTGGTGAGAAGATTCTGATTGAAACTCAGAGACCGTGGCGGCATGAACCCCGCATCAAATCTCTCTCAGAAGATGCGAAGCGCAGGCATCTTGACATATTCTGATCAAACCTCACAGACGGTGGCGGCACACTATTCGCATCAGATCCTTCAGAAGATGCGGAAGTGCAAGCCTCGTGAAAAGATTCTGATCAAAACTCACAAACTGTAGCGGCACACTCGCATCAAATCGCTGTAGAAGATGCGGAAGAGCAAGCCTCGTGAAAACTTTTCGTTTCCAAGACCTACCGGCGGAGGCGGCATACTCGTACATGTAGTCGCCCAAATGGAGCACCGCCTGAATGTCGGGCTCTCCTGCCAATGATCGGTACGCATTGAAGTAACTGCACAGGAAGGGGCCACGTGGCAATGTAGTAAGAACGGCTGCCGTCGATCACGTTGTCAATTCTCCGATGCTCAAAAACTTCGTACACAAATCAATTTCATTTTTCGTAACCGGAAAGCTCAGTAAGTCATTGCTTAACTTTCGTATGCCATTGAGATTCCGAGACAATGTTCATATAAGCTACACAGCCTTTCAGGCCATTCTTACATGCATTAACAGCTAGAATTGGGTGCTAGATAATGATTTCTCTGAGTTTCTGAGATCAGCACTTACCCGTCTGGGTACTGGGAGCAAGTGACATAGGCGATACGCGACTTGGACACGTCACCAACGGGGAGAGTTCGGGTCCGACCAACGGCGGACTTGGCACTCCCGCTGTAGAACTGGTAGTAGTAGGTGGTGGACGGGGTCAGACCTGCAGGCGTAATGCGGAATTTCAGGGCTAATTGATCTCGAAGCGAATCCAGATCACAGGTTGTCAAACTTACCTGAACACTGTCAGTAAGACCTGAGGGTCTCATCTGGAAGACTAGGAAGTAAGATGCTCTTGCACTAATTCGAGAATCTCAATTTGCCAAACGAAGCTGAAGTTCTGTCAACCTGTCACTCAGACCTGCAGGCGTCATGCGGAATCTTTTGAAAGTAACATGATCTCGAACCGAGTCCAGACCCTCATATCTGCAGATTGAGCTGATAAAATTACAGTGCTTAAAGACAATAATACTGAGTGCGTGCTGGCACTCTTTGAACAACTTGAAGCGTTGTCCAGGAGTATCAAATCATCGTTCAAACCTGCGCAATTGCATGTCATTCAAAGCGCGCTTTCAGATTTGAAGCACCTCTGCAATAGTCAGAGACGACTTCAGAGCATAAGAGAAGGCTCTTCAGGGAAGGGCGGAACAGCAAACAAAGTTCGTGAGATAACTGTACTCTCACCAGTCACGTCAACCTTGACCGTCCAGTCAACTCCCGCATCGGTGGCCACAGCTGCACAGAAAATAAATGTTGCTCGTAAGAGCAGATCGAAGAAGATGGATGAGTTAATCCGATTGCTGGCGAAGATGTATGCGTCTTCTGCTAAACATCGATCAAAACTGGCAAGGGGTTTTCGGATTTGCCGAGCTTCGTTGCATGTTGATGGGGGGGTGGAGTCTGTTTGATCACATAATCAGGATCATCAGGTAACTCTTTTTGAGCACAAGCGAGCCTCAACTGCATTGCCTCCTCAACATGCTTTCAATCAACTCATACTGACACAGTCAAGCAGAGCCACCACCAATGTAGCCTAGCTGTGATCTGCCCTCCGTAATGGGAGTATTGCATGTGTACTCTTTCTTCGACATCAGCTTGCCCCCAACAAAGGGCCATTTTTGCCGTTCAAGCAATTTCTCGTAACCAAATTTTGTAGCTTCGAAAGGATTGCTGTTCAAGCGATGAGCAGACGTCTGTAACAAGCTGCTTGAGGTGTAAATCTTGTTACACAGGAGCTCCTGGTAACGACTAAGTTCCCAGGGGAAAACGACTAACTCAGAGTAGGTTCATTAGAATCACAAAGAGTCTCACCTCCCTGTGTGACGATGGTGTTGAGCCCTGAGTCGGCCGCTACTTTGAAGTACACTAGAGCGCGGGTGTCTGCGGCGACGGGGGTGACACGTGTCCAGAGGATGACTTGAGTTGCCTGGTTAAGAAAGTAGAAGTGCAGTCAAAGGTTTCAGCAAGTTATGTAGAGGACAAACTGGGTGGGTTGAGAGGACTCTGAAATGACTTCCCTACAAAGATCTTGGTTTTGCCAGGTGTCTGAAGTCTTTGGACAGTGGCCATGAATTGTGAATGCGAGGCCCTAATGATCCAGGATTGCTCAGTTCTGGTTCAATATCAGAATCAGAAAGGAAGCGAGTCTTGATGCGTACGGTCTGGAATGTGCTGATATGGTTATTGCACCTAAGAAACACTCCTGTGGCCGAATTGATTGTGGGTACCCAAGGCAATAAGTGAGACAGAAGATAGCAGGGTCCCTTACAGCCTTTGCATCTTTGGTTAATTTTGGGGCAGAGGATCCAAAAGTGAGCCTTACGGAATAACAGTGAGAGTATACATGACATCCCAAGGGAAAACCAGATACTGAGCTAGTGAGCTCTTGTACAGAAGAAAAGAGAAGAACAGAACAAAGAAATTGACAAATGGTGAGGGAAGCTCGTTCTAGGCCAGAGTAATGTTACTAACAATGTGGTGTTGAAGGCCCCATTGCACTGCCATGTTCCACAGAAAGGGCAATCTCATGATCCTCCTGAACAAAACTAAGGGGGTCCAGCATGTGCGACATGATAAAGGCAGGTCAGCATGACATGCCCCATGCACAGGACAATCAAAATGATGCGGGCGTTACCTGTCAGCGAACTAATGCTGAATCACGGAAAGAGAGTCTCGACGCAGATTTGCTGAGAAATTACTGTGTTACAGTAGTTGAAGAGATGGGGTTGGGCGGAAATGCTTGGCACTTACAGTTGGGTCACCGCTCGCAATGCCGTGCTGGAATGAGCGGGCAACGCTGAGGTCATCAACCAGGGGGCCGCTGTGTTTACAGGAGAACAGAACGAAGATTACAGGCATGAAAGACGGGTTGTGCGCATGGGAGAAGGCTGCTCTCTTGAAAGTAGGAAGGGACACCAAGGTTGCCTCTTGCTTGCTGGGTTGCAAATTTGGCATGTAATGGAATGGGACCTGACAGACAAATCTTCAGACGAAATTCAGCAGATGAGCTATAGGCCCTCACTTGCCACCTCTGTTTCTCATCAGCACTAAATCTATGCGGCCCTTCTTGCCCAAAGTCAAAGGCAGGCTATCAGCTGGCAGGGAATGAGTTTTGATGGAATGTTGGTAACGCGATGGAAAAAGCTTAGGTCAATAAGCCCCATTGAGCAACATAGCTGTGTGTGATGAAGCTGTGCTACAGCAGTGAACAGGACTGTAAAACGACTCTGTCCGAAAGGTTCATTCTGCCGTCCAGCTCTTGGCCTAAGGTTTCAGAAGAGCGAAGGTTTGTATCCGTGCCAGCTTGAGCCATCCCCATTTATCAGGCTGAATGAAGCTGAGCTGAGCATCAGAGGCTTATTGGGGATGAAGCTGGACAGAGGCGATCATGTTCCGAGATGCTTCCGATGAGTCTGAAGTAACCAAGGCACCTCAAGTGTGAGCTTCGGGTGACCGAGCTTCAGTGCTGATCTAAAGAGCAGGAACTAAGGCCCTTGGCCCAGTCTTATGAAACAATGCTGAGGGGACTTCAATCAAAGACATCCTGCTTGAATCGACTCACTGCACTTGCCACCAGCACTGATTAACACAGCCAAATATCGAAATTGCGACACTTCTGTGTTTCTACCTGCACAATCCGGTGTCAATTCATGAAGAACCAGGTCTGATTGCATGCCTCACCTCTGCAGCAGCTTGCGGCGCATGGTTGCGTCAATGACCGGCTCCTGGATGGCCGCAGACACACTCTCGGGAGCGTTTGTGATGGGCTTCAGGTACGCCATGTTCTGCACAAGCTCAAGCCCGGTCGACGCCTGCAGGCTCAGCTCCCGCGCCGCGAGAGTGGTGCCAAAAAGGGCCACCACAAGGAGCGCACAGAACGCCAGTGAGCGCGCCATTGCTCCCAGGGAATCCGCTCAGCCCAGGCGCAGCGGATTGGTAGGGCAGCCAAAGTGGCTGCTGCAATTGGCAGCTGTGTCAAAGGAACCTGTTCACTACTCCCAACAATCCGCTGTTGATCATGACTCTTCCTGTACATTGAGAGTACAGTAGCATCAGAAAGGCACCTGTCGTTCCCGCGAAACGTTTACCCAGATGTACCAAATACAACAAGGTAGGTACCTATTGCCAGACTCCAGTCCACCGACTCCACCCGTCTTTCATCATTGCGCGACGCAACGCTGGCAGCTAGGCCAGGGCTGCTGCAGCTAGGGAGAACCTGCTTGGTGAGAACCTACGGTAGAAGCTGGCGGCATTCATGAATGTGCCAGTGGAAAAGTCATGCTGCATGTTTCATCGAGAAAAGCGACCTTTGTTCAGAATCTCATTGGGGGTGAGAAGAACCGGTCAGTCTGCGGATGCTAGTTATAACATATCTACGGTGCTTTGACGACGAACTTAGGGCCAACCAGTATCTAGCTCCTCTACATAGGTAGGGTCACCTATGACCCTGGACCTGTCGAAGGGATCCCCCATCTGCTAATTTCCGCAAAGCGAGCCGCGCTCCATGCTTCCCACCCCGGATGCTTTTCATCCAAATCGTCAAGGAATCTTCAATCTTCACCGTTCGATGAAAGCAGCAAGATGTCGACACAGTGGCCGAAGACGTCAAGAATCAGAATTCTGACGTCAGATTCGGAATCTACTGTAGAGGCGATTTCAAAGGCGATTTCAATCCCGTCGGCGTTGTTCAATGATTGCCTGCTAGGGGACCGTGACCGGACAGAGCGCGGCCGCGCCGCCGCGGTGCGGCGGGACTCACTCCTCGAGTCCGATTTGCAATTAAAGGCAGATCGAGCTGGCAGCGCGGCAGCACTTCGCAGGACATATCGCAAGCCAGCGCGTAGACTGTAGCGGCCAGTTGCGCTTCTGAGGCCATGGGGGTGAGCGAGCATACACAAAGGCTTGAAAATTTTGTCCGCAATGCATGAAGTGAGTCTCGATTCCGAGTATTGGACTGCAATTGTCGATAAGAGAATCACATGACGGCACCAAAGTGTACCTTTCACGTAATGACCCGCCAAAGCAGGTAGTGTGGAGAAAGATGACTCTGTGTAATCCAATGTTTTAGCCGTCGTGGTACTACTACGCATGAGGACTCGGGGAGGAATCTCATTTTTTTTACAAGACAATTGCAGAAGTTGAAGGTCATCCGTCGGCTTTTCATCATTGATAACTAAATGTCTAAGAAACGGCATGGGGACTGACGCACAGCTTGCACGCTTCTCTTCACTTGAGGTAGATGAATTATCCGCCTCATAAATACCCCCAGTGAGCTCTCACCGTCCCCTAAACCACTGCTGTTTGAAGGTCCTCTACAACGTGGTTGTACCCTTCTTGACGACTCTCAACGAGTGGAATGCAGCGCCCCCCGGTTTCGGCTGAAAAAGCTTCTCCGAAGTTCGTCTAAGTCACGCCTGACTTACGAACATCTGATAGTAGATTTTTCTTGACCTGATCCGTACCTTAGTCCCGCTTCTTCCCCTTGAACAAACTGCAAGGACAGTACAGATCAGGCAAAGAACGTTGATGTTCTGGCCAAACGCGCTATTTATTTTTCAGTAACTTAGCCGACGCCTTCGAACTATCTGGAGCTTCACGAACGAGCAGGAAGAGGTAAAACATGCTCATTAATTGTCGCTTGCAAATGTTCTCGAAAACTTTTTGGCCTTCGATGAACCACCTGGCCGGCAGGAGTGCGTATAACTGAGATTCAGGGAAATAAGACGGGCGTACTCACTTCAGACCGCTCGTGACTCCCACTACCGCCCAGATGCCCACCCGAACTAGAATGGGCGTGGGAAACGCGCCCAACGTGACCATGCCCTCAACCATCGTGACCCCGAAGCCCGCAGCCACCCCTAGGATCCCGCCATTCAGCAGCTTGGCCCGCCGGGACGACAGCTGTCCCTTGTCGGACGCAGCCTGCAAAGAACCACAAGGTTTATTCCTGCTCGGTTTCTGCCTGGCATTGGTAAGAAGCTCGACGCCGTCTTCAGGGGAAACCGATCCTTCCAACTTCGGCCCGTAAGCTTCTGTGACTTGCATGGTCCCTTGTAACCGAGCTGCCCGCCCGCACGCATTGACGACTCCCTTTCCTCGCCGTATTTCTTTTCCGAACAGTGGGCGTTTTTCGAACCAAATGGAGGCAAAAGATACGTGAATCCATTCGTTTCATGCCCACTCAAGCCAGGCTTACAACACCTGGTTGTCGTCAGGCGGTATCGCAGATCCAGCTGACATCCTTTACGAACCGCTTTTCTGCGGTTTGCTGAAATACACAGACGACGCTTTGAGTTGTAGGACTGGCAACTTCTCGTGCAATTCGAGAACTTGAGAAGGCCCAACTCCAGAACCGCACTACTACCTTCCAAAACGAATTCGGTCCATGAAAATAGGACGAAACCTGACTTTCGTGACCACATCGTTTTCTCCGTGCTCACTTTCAGCGTCAGCGCAGCAAGAGGCGCCACGAGCGTTCCGGACGCCATGAGCAGCTCCAGCAGCACGCTGGCGCCGACTCCCGTGTACACGAACGGGATGCTGAGATTCTGCATCCAGAAGAACGGAGGTGGGTCCAGAAGTGTTCAAATAAAGAGGCGGGAGTCCCTCTATGAGAAATAGGATAGGGCATCTACAGCAATGACAGGGAATGGGACTGTGAGGTTCTGCATCGAGGACCAAGGAAGTGATTTGGAGCCGTTCAAGTGTAGAGACGGCATGATGATGATGTAAAACATGGGCGATCGACCTTCTCAGTGAGCTTAGGGCGCAGGGCTGCCACAGGTTTTCTGAGTCTTATCTGATGAACAAGGGCCAGGTGACGGATTAGGAGCGACGATTCAGTGAGCCGGCTATGAGATGACACACGCTGAGCCTGAGTCGCTTTTGGCGAACTGGGATCGAAAGCAGGACAAAACACGAGAAAGTCGGATAAATCATTGACACGGGATGGAGCGGGGGACGTTTTATATTCAGGAGGATGCGATGTCCGAAAAGCAGACTGTCTAACGTGCTGCAACAGGTACCAAGAGATTTCTACCTCAAAAGAGCTTCCTTTTCCTCTTCAAAGCTTCGGGCAAAAGCATCCCACTTGAGTGTTTTTGCGTCGTTCATCCCTGATGCGCTGACCAACGATGAGATGGCGTGTCCTCAGCGGACCAACGATGACGATGCTGCTGACGTCACAAGTCAAGGACATGGAAACCGAGACGACATGTCTTTCCAGTCGCTCAGAAGCACGCATCGAACTAATGCCGAACCCAAAGAGCCATACATTCGAAGCGGAAAGAGACGAGTTCGTTCATAAGAAGAGTCCTGCACTGATCACAAGACTTGGTTGACTTGCGGCGAAGCCTTTTCCTTGCGAAATATGAGAAATCCTCTCTGATAAGCGCTAGAGATATCCACAGTGGAATTGTCGTTGTGTCTCACTGGAGGCGCGCTCGGCTGGCGGAATGTTGAGAGGGCGGCGTAGCCAAAGATTATGGAGAACACGCCATACAGCAGCGATGACGCGTTTTTGGGCTTGATGAAGGAGAGCAACGCTGCCTTCCCATCGGCAACCCCCTTGTTGGTGGAGCGGTGCTTCGAAGTGAATGCAGCACTGGCACCGATGCAGCCCACAATGATTGATGCCGCCGATGACACTAAGCTGCAAGTCAGGGCTTCAAGTTGTGTTCAGCTTTTGAAACTTATTATGACACCAGATTCAATATTTCAATTCTGACCTTGTTGACTGAACAGAACTCGTTACAGATTCAAAAGCACCTTGCCTTCATATTCTCGTTTGCAAACCTTCCTACATGAGAACGTTTGCAACCGACTCAAACCTTGAAAACCGAAGAGCACGACTCACAGCGGGTTGTTACAAGGCCTCACCCGAGAGCATTTGCTTTGCTGTCAAGGATGACCCCAACGGGGATCCGTGTCAGAGAGTTGGCCACTCCAACTCCAAAAGCTACGAGGCCAATGTTGAGGCGCAGAGCATCGCCAGTGTCGAGCTCTTTTCTTTCTGCCGCGTCCTATCAAGAGGGCAAGAGCTTGGGTTGGAAAGACCTCAAGGGTGGTGTCTGACACGAAAGGTACTTTGCATCAGATTAGACATTTTTTACCTTCTCAAGCACCTTTGGCTCAACCTTATTCAAAGATTAACACTGTAAAAAAATCCAGGAAGGTGATCTCAGTCCACTATAATCCAAGCGTCACTAGCACTAAGCAGTAGGCCTGGCATACCAGCCAATCACCAGGCTTTCATAGGCCTTTGATTGCAGTACCCAGGACTGAATCTCCTCATACAGCAGACTATCATGTCTCGTGGCATACTGGAGTCACCGGATGATATCAGCAGAGGGATCCCTGTGCCTTCACTCATTGTTCTTTCTGATAGCCCTGACTGGCTGAAAAAGTTAGGCACGAGTAACCAGACACATCGGAACCCCAATAGCCAGACACGTACTCTCTTAAAGTTCAAAGTAATTGAGGCGCTAACCAAGCCAGGTTAGAGGCACATCATCACTTGACCAGTTATGGAAGCTGCAAGTGGCTCACCCTCAGCACGAAAGCGGCAGCCACTCCTGGTAGCAAGGCGCCCCCAAGCACTCTTTGGGCCCTGCAGAGCTCTGCGGTGATTGCAGTCCCTGGGAAGTCGAGGGCCAACACCTGTGCTGGAAAAGCGATCTTGGCCGCTGCCATCAGCATCCCCGCAGTCCCTAGGGCTGTGTAGGCGACCTTGAGAGTCTGCTCCTTGAAAGGGAGGCCTGAAATAGGGAAGGAAGCCAATCACGTGGGTTGTTGAGACCATGAATTAAGTGGTGGCAGTTCAGTCGATGAGGTGGCGACGCGTATGGTAGAATAGATCCCCAGTGAAGATAGAAAGGACTCAACCCACTGCTATGGGCTGGCCGCATTGAATCAGCGTAGTACACGAGGGATACTAAGGCACCCCATCTGCTGAAATGACACTTGTGACCTGCTCTGAGAGTAAACGCTGCATAGTGCATTCCTGTTACTTTCTCTTTCCTTTCCCTCTGTTGGCTAAATCCTGAGCTGCGAATGGCGCTGCTTCTCCGGTGGGGGCTGAACGCCTAGTCACTTTTACTAACTTAGTTTCAAACCTAGTTACTCGGGTAAGCTCAGACGCACACTAGCTTTCAGTCCAGAACCCTGTCCACTGCAGCAAATGGTAGGAAAGAGCGCGGGCTGTGCCGCCAGCTGGCGGCTTGAAACTCACTTGGGTGCTGCATTGAGCATCTTTTGATGACACAATTGAAGCATGTGCAGTCTAGTACATTATTGATTGGTCATTGAGCACATTTGTCGCTTCAGCTCCTCTCTTGATGCAAGTGGCAAGAATTCCTTGGAGAACCTCCTCACTGAGTATGCTGAGACAAAGTTTGGAACCGCTCAACTCCATACTCACCAGGTTCATTCGCAGAACCCTTGGCTCGCATCGCACCGCTCTCTGCTTGTGCCATCTTCACCCTTGCTCCTGTTCCGCCCACAAAGAATGGCCAATTCCTTGACTCTGACGAGGAAGCTGGCAACCCGGTTCTCCCTCGTCTTCCGCACCACAACGTGGAAGGTCTGCAGCTAAATTGGGATTGTGCAGCGGTCAATGATGCGAATGCCATCTCATTACGCTGCAATTGTTACGTGTCCCTCCTTCCTGACGTCCCTGACCAGTGCGCCATGAAAGCAAGCTCGCATTGGCGGCGCATCTGTGCATGATGGAGCACGCCTGCAAATGCAACGGCCCCGTTCGAACATGCCAGGTGGCCGTCCCGCATTGCTTTGAGGGCTTCGCACAGCATGACGACACACTTGCTTTTCTTCCGCTCTGCAAAAAGGGTTTGCGGATGGAGC